AGTCTTCCACAATCCAGCTGTCTCTCTCTCCCTTAGATGTAATTTTGCCCACTCTTCCTCTCCACCAGACACCAGTGCGCTTGTCTCAGGCTTGACGAGAGCACACAGAGGCCCTGCCTCGGTCATACCGGGCGGGGCAGGTGAGCTAAAATGACCCTAGAACACACCAGAACCTGGCAGCTAGTCAGTCCAAACTTCCGGGCGGGACTCCTTAGTCCTCTGGGGTACCACAGGCCCAACCCCTCCACGGTAGACAGTGCCCTCCCGTGGAAACAAAGAACCTTGCGAGTGCTGGGCTTTCCCCTCTGGAGGGTTTTTGTAACCCATGCCCCCAAGCTCAGGCTGCGACCGGGCCTCTGAGACCAGCCAGCCGGCAGGTGCTTGCTGTCAGCCGTCAGAGCAGGATGCCGCTCAACACAATACCACTGTTCACAGAAACGGCTATGTAAAAGTAAAACCCTAATATGTGTCTTAAGCAGATGCCTGGCTCAAGACTCACACAACAAATAACCACACGACAAAGAACAGACAAACAAAAAAGAGGATAAAACAAGCCAAAGTGGGAGAACTGCGCCAACTTATAATCAGAACAAATAATTTAAAAGATATCTTTAGAGGACTTTAAGCCTAGCACCATGTAAGAAGAGGCCTATATTCTCGGCATCAATGGATAAAGTTATTCATTAAAGTAAATGGAAAACTGGTAAATGAAAGATAATGACGTCTATAATTTAATCATATAGTCAGTATATGCAGTAATTCTTTTACCTTCAAAGTAATAGGCCAGGTGAATATATAACTTTTACCAAAGAAGGTCACTTTCTCCCTGTCCCCTGTATAATCAACCAAAGTGGAATGTTGTTTTCAAGGCATGCCAATCTTTGAACAGGCTGGGAGTGACACTTGGGGCCTGGCCTGTCCCTGCGCACACTCATCCTGTACTAGTTGACCTTGGCCCTGCTTCTCTGAGCCTCCGTGCACATGTCTCGTGGACTCCTTCCAGGAGCAATCTCAGGACTCAGCCAGGATCTAGCCCCTCCGGTCCCATCAGTCGTCCCTCTGCGCTGGCCCACGACATAAATGACATGAGCTGCGGAGGCTTCTGTGCAAGTTGCTGGACCTTAGGGTGACCGGCCATCCTGGTTTGCCTGAGACTAAGGGGTTTCTGGGATGGGGACTTCCAGCGCCCAAACTGGAAACAAGTCCCAGGCAAATAGGGAGGAGTTGGTCCCCCCCCCCCCGGTGCTGATGGGAGTCACACCACATACTGTGAATCTTGCCTGTCACAGCTGCGGGAGCAAAGGCCCAAGAGATCTGAGGCTTCCTGCTGTGTAAATGCACGTGGCAGGTGGGCTCTGGAGACAGCTGCTTTTATTTCTTGTAAGGCTCTGGGTGTGCTTTGCTTTTTCCACTTTTGCTACTTAACACATGTCCCTCCTAGCACGTTCCTCTCTTTCTGTGCTTGGAGCCGACTGAGAATGCTGTGCCAGTTTCCACTGGTTCTCTCCGAAATCCTTCAGCAGATGCTCCTGTTTGTTTTCCACAGTGAGTGTGTTGGGGGTTGGGGGGGGTTGTCACAAGGTCAGAAATCCACACATGTGCAGGTCAAGGTATGTTTTACACTGTTTGACAGTGGGGAAAGACAACCTGTTAGTGGTTCAAAAATAATGATGTTTTACCAGAAATGCAAATCGCTTCAAAAACAGTTTAGTCACATTTATTATATAACAGCAATAATAACTCTTGGTCAGCTCAGGCTGTTGTAACAAATTACCATGACTGAAGCTTTAAACAACAAACAGTTATTTCTCACAGTTATACAGGTTGGGAAGACCAAGATCAGGGTGCTGGAGGTCCAGTGTCTGGTGAGGGCTCACTTCCCGGTTCGCAGATGGCCTGTTGCGTCCTCACATGGTGGAGGGATCCTCTTTCTCAGGTCTCTTCTTATAAGGACACTAATCCCATTCATGAGAGCTCCACCTTTATCCCCTAATACCTCCCAAGGGCCCTCTGGATACACCTCTGAATGCCATCATACTAGGGATTAGGTCCTCAACCTATGAAGTTTTGGAGGTGGGCACATTCAGTCCATAGCAATAACTAATATATAAAGAGTGCTTGTCGGGTGCCTGGGTGGCTCAGTCAGTTAAATGATTGATTTCAGCTCAAGTCATGATCTCAGGGTCGTGAGATCAAGCCCCATGTCGGGCTCCAATCTGAGCCCGGAGCCTGCTTAAACTTCTCTCTCTCCCTCTGCCCTCCCCCCCTGCTCACTCTCTCTCTCTCTCTAAAAAAAAAAAAAAGAGTGCTTGCTACACACCAGGTACTGTGGTAAGTTTCAAATACATCATGTTGTTTAATGGTCAGAATATGAGGTAGGGGAGGAGACTGAAGCTCAGAGAGGTTAAGATATTTATCTGGGGTCACAGAGCTGGTAATTGGCAGAGCCAGGTTTTGAATCCAGTCTCACTGCACAGTCAACACTTGGACTCAGAACTGCAGACTTGGGGGCGCCTGGGTGGCTCATTCATTTGAGCGTCTGCTTTTGGCTCAGGTCATGATCCCAGGGTTCTGGGATCAAGCCCCGCATCAGGCTCCCTGCTCAGCGGGGAGTCTGCTTCTCCCTCTCCCTCTGCTGCTCCCCCTGCTTGTGCTTTCTCTCTCTGTATCTCGCTGTCTCAAATGAATAAATAAAATCTTAAAAAAAAAAAAAAACAACTGCAGACTTGGGGCTAAGCACGATCACACTTGAGCAAACTGCTGAGAACCCTGTAGATTCACAGATTGCTTTCTGGGCAACTGTGGGGCACATCAGTCAGGGTGTCTTCATCCTGGACCTGAGTCCAAATCACTGATGGGGCTCTCGGTTTCTACAGTGAGAGTTAAATAAAAGGTATCTGTGTACTCTAGGAATTACCCAGTTTGGCCAGATCGTCTGAAATACCATGATCCTTCTGGATTCATATGCTGCCACCAAAATTCCAGGGACAACACGCCCATGGCTAGTAGCCCATAGCTACTTCTCAGCTCAGCCAGTTCCTCTTTAAAGTGAGCCACAGTGATAAGGTCTCAGCTTGAAACTTCAGATTCACCTGAAGGTTTGTGCTTCAAAGGCCACCGAAGAAATAAAAAACTCATAGTGTGGTATTTTGTGACAGTTTGGATTTACATCCCCTCTGATCACATTCTCTGCATGCTGGAGCAGACTGCTTGGGTTCAGATGCTGGTCCCACCACTCGGAAGCTGTGAGATGGAACTAAATTTCCTCATCCGTACACCGAGGGTAACAGTTTCCCTTCCGTTTAAATGAGCTCATCCATATAAAGTACTTGAACAGAACCTGGGCCATAGTAAGCACACAATAAATATTTTTTACTTGGGAAGAAGACAACTCTTAACTGTTCCTCACTTGACAACTCTGTAATGCATAGAACCTTCTGGCTGAAGAGAACGTACATGTGATGGTTACAACCTCCCAAGCCCAATAACGCTCTCTGCAACGTTCCTGGACAGGTGTTTACCTTTAGTCTACTCAGGAGAGAGCTAGCTGTCTCAGGGACCAGCACTCCAATTGTGGACGGCACTAACTTCTGGGAAAACAGTCATACCATAGTCTGGGCAAAAAGCTTGGGCTCTGGAGCCTGGTTTTAAGATCTCCCCATCATCTCCACCACCACCATTCTGCCCCAATGGTTTATAATGAGAAAAAGCTACAGAACTTGGATACAAATCTTTCCACATTACAGTGTTCAGTCAAATGATAAAAGAATATTCCTTTTTTAACTTCTCAAACCATGGCCGTCTGGACCGTGAATTAACAGGAGTGACAAAGCCCCATTAACATTCTTGTTGTAGCAAGAACATTGTGGGGTCTTTTTAGCCAAGACTAGTAACTCTAGTTCTTAGGATGTGACTGACTCTTGCAAAAAATCTTAGAAAGAGGGGGATGAGCAAGTGCAGATAACAATCAAGAGTTCTCTTGGGCCACGGAATGTACGGGAAATGATTATTTCTAAAAACTGTTCAACGAGGTAACTCAGTACATAATGAACATCAAATGTACAAAAAGTCCACTAAACTTGAATTCGTATTTACCTGGTTTCATTTGAATTCTAAAATAGATTTCCAGCATTTCAAATAAGCCTTTTGATTTTGTTCTTTTCCTTCACAAGGGAACACCCAGTTGTACTCAAGTCCAAATAGTATCTGACTGAGGTTAAAAGCGTGCTGCTTCTTTTCATCTTGTTCTTAACTGTTCTAAATTGATGACATTTTCGTCCACTCGTTTTTGTAAATCAGGGGCAAAAGGCAACAAAAAGGCAAATAGCAGCACTGGCTACCTGAACAAAGGTGGGAACTCCACGGATGGCAGGAAGGTAGCTGCACACATCCTGCAACAGATACTGCTTGACACGAACCGCTCACTAGCAGAGGCTAGAAGCCCAACCGTATACGAAGAGTAGTGCGACGGGCCTGTGGAAGAGTGAAGGAGGTTCAAAAGTCACGTGCCCTCTGACTCAGGGGCCACTCGGGGAGCCAAAAGTAATCCACAGGTCTACCTCACATTCATTTTCTGGACCCAGTGGTAATGCTCGTTCCTAACACAAACCAAAGGCTTTTTAATCATGAGGTCAACCGAGATTATGTGTGTGAAAAGTGCTTTCTAAACAGCAAAGTATCCGTATCAGATCATTCCCAAATTAAATGAGGAAATATAGTTTCTCAGGAATAGTTAGGTCTTTGTGTAACCTTGACTCATGTTCCCCAATCTCTAATCTACTCAGTTTCTTCAAGCTCCTTTCTAGAAGATACTGTGTGTTTAATTGGACATGGGGACTGGATCATTACCGGCCTTTTGCAGATTTGTGTGTCCATCCTGCTTGAGGGGAGACAACCCAACTGGCCCACAGAAAGCCAGGGGGACACTGGGCGGATCAAGGGAAAGTGACCAGATGGAGACGGAAGGACAACAGGGCAGCTAAACCAACAAGAAACAGGAGTCAAGAAAAAAATAGCAACAAAATGTATTTAAAAACAGACTTCTCCAGTTGGCATTTTGAATGAAATAGCTAACAATTAACTCCAACCCTTTCTATTGTGTTTCTTTTGCTCCTGGAGTCCTCTTGCGGCTTTAATTCTTGAAACTCAGGCAGCAGCACCAGACATTAAATCCCCAAAGGGAGAGGTATTATTAAACCTTTTGCTGGTCGTTCTTTTCTGAACACAAATGGACAAATTCTTAAGCCCTCTTAATTCATCTCATGACAATCATTAGGAGAAAAAAATTAAGCCAAACTTGCATATTGAAAATAAGAACAAAAACACAACACAAAAAAACCCCTGTAGATAATAAATATCGCTGATCCACTTATTTTAAACAAAGTCCAATTTTATTCACTCTTAATATCCTTGCAGTCCATTGTATACCTTCTGCACTGATGCTTGGTTCAGTAGCTGTTTGATACCTGAAGAAAGAGGGAACAAGTGAATTTTATCAACAAAAATGTGATTTCTCTAGAATTTAAAGAGCAGGTTTCATGGGGAGGCTCACAAAAGGCCGTATGACAATGGCAGATCCCAATTAAACAAATAACTACCCATGTTCAAGTTCATTGCGTGTGGATCCCCTCCAACCCCATGGACACATATATGTCCAAGACGGCCCCTTTTCTCTTTCTGTCTCTCAGGCACACAGACCACACACCTCCCACAAAACCCTATCAAATGAGAAATGAGAAGAAGCCATCAAAATGGAAATAAAGCTCTTCAGTTGTCTTCCGTTCCTTCTTCTTTGTCCTCTTTTCAGTTTTGACTGCTTTCACTGTTCTCCTTCCTCTTCCTATTTAGGATGCACCAACTGGGCCCTTGCCTCAAGCAGCCATCGCTGATGCCACCCCTCAGCCTCTAGCCCTTCTAATCTAATGTATACCTGATCCTTCCCTTTATGGTTTGGTCCAGCTAATTTGTTTTATGTGATTCCTTTTCACATTCACACCCACACATCGGTTTCAAAGCCCAGCTCACACAGCCTTCTGTAACATAGTGACAGAAGAATTTTGAATATCTCCTTTATAGAAAGTCAAGTTCATTTCCTGGTCCTGTGTTTGATGTCTGATGTCCCTGGAGGGTGTTGTTTTTGACCATCCTCTTTACCCGCGGTTCTCATACTCACATGCCACAGACATATACACATGCACGCATATACTCTCTCTCTCATTAGACTGCTCACCTTCTCTTGCTTCCTCTGTTAACTGTTCTTTTGGAAAATCCACATCGAAAGTGATTATCAAAGAGCCCTTGATGTTGTTGTTGTCAAAGTTGGGGAGCCCTTCACCTTTCTTCCATAGCTTGGCTCCTGGTCTGGTGATCTTATCCCGGGAAATATGTACCTAAAAAGCAAAAGGGTATGGAACTGGACTAGGACTCTTGAAATACAACACACAGCTTCTAGTGAGCACTGGTGTCCAGAGCTCGTGTCACAGCTCAGCACAGAAGCAAGGATGAAGGGACAAGGGAAACACCATTAGGATACTGCAAGCCAAAGAAATACATTTTCAAAATAAAAAGAAAAACCAAACACGTAATCTCCAAACCACTCACATGAAGGTTTTAAAAGGACAGGAAGCAGGAAAATTGATCTGTTTACCTTGTGGCCATCCAAGTGAGTAATATCCATATCAAAGCCCACCAGAGACTCGACTAGTGAGATTGTCACATTTGTGTATAAATCATCTCCTCTCCTTTCGAATATTGGGTGTCTAAAAACAGAACAAGGTAAAAATCAAAAACTTCCATCTTTCTTTGGAAAGTGTTCGAAAAGGTTTTAGAAAAGGTTTTAGAAAAATCTTGCGAAAGGATGAATATCACTCTTTCAAATAAGCATTTATTAGATACTCCTTTGTGTGTAGTATTAATCAGAACTATAAAGTTGTGTAAGATTTATTATAATCCTATGCTTAAGGAGCTTATGAATCAGGAGAAGGCAAAGCACATAAGTAAAACTACGAGTAATTAGATTATAGAAAAGAGAAAGACAACTTCTGGCAGTGAGGCCTGAGCAATGGGCATCAGGAACGGGTTTGGTTAGCTGGACCAGAGCTGGTCTCAAGGCCAGGTCAGCTCTAGAGATGCAGATAAGGTAGAAATGGGGGGGGGGGGGGCTGGGGTATGAGGGAATTCTGGCAAAGACCAGGACCTGAGAAGGTACCAGGTTTATTCAGGGAATAGCACATCTTACAGTTTCTCTGGGAAGATGTGAGAAAGATAAAGTAGGTAAGGAAAGCTGGGGAAAGTCCTAGAGGAAAGTAGAAGGGGAAAGTCCTAGGCAATGGGGGCCCATTTCTCCATATTTATGTGGGAAACTTGTTTCAACGAATCCTCAGAAGCAGAGGTAATTGCTGCTTTCCAAGGTGGTAACAAGAGAGAAATAATAAACCAGAAAGTCTGAGTCCCAGGCAAAATTCTTATATAAGCAGCACTTCATGCTAAAGAGAAGCTGCATATTATATAATAGAAGGTTCTTTCTATCTAAAGTCTTCCATCCTTGTATGGTGCCATCCTTCCTCAGTCGAAATCTCAGGTCTCCTTGAGTCCCATTCGTGTTTGCCTCTCTTTTACAACTCCTTACTTGTCTTATCAATTCTTTCCTTCCAACATCTTTTGGATCTGTAGGTCCTGAGTAAATATGTTAACAGCTCAATCCTTGGCCACACGCCCAAATGTTCAGTATCGTTGTAGAGTTACAAAGGATCATTTAGGGTATGAAGGGCACGAAACAGAGGGAAAACTCTAGCAGTGTCCTGGTGGCTATCCATCTCTCTCTAATCCAACTCATCTGAAAAGTGGTGGCTAAAGAGAAGGCCTCCAAAATCCGATCACTTACTTGACAACTTTGATTCGGAACCGCAGGTCCCCTGGCTCTCCATCCACATGAGGCTCACCTAGTTAGAAGACATGATGGCATACTCTAAGTCACACAGGACACACGCTGCAAATCTATCTATAGTTTAGGAGAAGTTTTCAAAGCCACTACCTTAGGTGTGGCCTATCAAGTCTACCTGTGAGAGCAGTGTCTCTAACTGGTTATATCAAGTTTCGGATTATTAGTGAAGATCACCTGTATCTCAGGCACAGCAATAAATAACTTGACCTGTTACCTAAACAAAGAAAGATTCATTGATTTCTTGAACCTAAAGTCTTAAAGCTTCTTTTCTTTCAGAAACCTCAAAGGTGAGGTCTGAGAGCATTTTATTAATGCCAACCAGAGCTACATATCTTCTTTCATTGCTGAGTTAAAATTAATCCATTAGGGTCTGAACACCCTAAATTTTGATATAACTTAGGCTACTAGATAAAAAGTTACTAGGTAGTAACTTTTGGCCGTGATATTCTAAAGATAAACTGTAGTGCTATGGTTTAAGGTGAACATCCAGGAAGGCCATGAAAGGCTTTCTGTGCACTAAAACTGACCTGAGAGTGTTGGAAATGATACATGCATTTACTATGTGGCCATTAGGATATGGTGTGAGGTGGGGGTTGCTAGTATTCACAAGCACACAGAGAACAGAGAATTATGACAGTAAAACATCAATATCAGTATTTCACCTTCTCCAATAAAGGGGTACTCCATGCCATCTCTCACCCCAGGTTCTATTTCTACCTCCAGTGTTCGTTCTTCATTCACTAGTCTGAGAGAGAATTTAGAAAAAAAAAAATGAAAATACAAACCAAATCCCACATACACATAATTAATTTTTTCTGTTCTATCAGAGTTGTTTCTTAAAAGACTATTCCATACCTCTTGTTGACATAGCCATCTGAGATCTATTTACATCTCCTACATGCCAAAAGCCAGGGCAAAACTACTATATATTATGTAATCTTGTAACTGCTGCCTCCAAAGAAGCCCACAGTAGACGGATTACTTTGAGCTGAGTGATCAGTAACAGAGAAAACTACTCACTCTTACATAAATTTGCACCTCGAAGGACAGGAATCAGAAGCAAAGTTTATCCTGATATTTCTACTGATCCCACAAATAACTGATCGAGTTTTGATATATATAAATGTACAGTTCAGTTAAATCGTTAGGTTTATAACATAATCAGCAAATAGTACTTCTCTAATCTGCAATGTTAGCTGGACATGTATGACTGCTCTACTATTCCAAGTAGGAAAAATGAAACATTAACTTTTGCTAAGTATATTCAGAGTTAAAGGCACAGCTTATTAGTTCAGAAACACAGAAGGAGAGATTTAGAATATTTTTGGGAAAAATAAAAAGGTACATGTCTGGGATGCCTGGGTGGCTCAGAAGGTTAAGCCTCTGCCTTTGGCTCAGGTCACGATCCCAGGGTCCTGGGATCGAGTCCTGCATCGGGCTCCTTGCTCGGCAGGAAGCCTGCTTCTCCCTCTGCCTGCCTCTCTCTCTCTCTCTGATAAATAAATAAAATCTTTAAAAAAAAAAAAAAAGGTACATGTCTTTGCTCTATCCTCTGGTGGAACATGAGAGAGAGAGAGAGAGAGAGGAGGGTGTCGGGAGATAGAGGACAAAATCTCAGTACGGACCATTAGCATTTTATTAGACAAGTGAGAGGATGAAAGTGTCTCTTGGTAGAACAGAGAAGGTGCTCCACTTACTTGACATTAGGGCACTCGTCACAGACCACCTCCTGGGTCATCTGGAAGCGACCTGGGCCCAGCTGGGTAGTCCGCATCTCTTGCCGGCAGTTGCATTTTCGTTTGCCCGGAGCCTGCCTTGCCACGGGTTTGTTTCTAACTACCTAAGAAGTACATAAACAACATCAGCTTCTCTCTCTGTAAAAGAGCCTTTGGTTTCCTCAACTGATCAGGGCTGCACACGTACTGGAGCTGGAACGTTCCCTTCTCTGGCAAGCTATCCCCCAGAGAGACCTAATGTTGACAGAAGCCTTTGTGGAGTTACAAATCAGCCCCATACAGGAATGAAGCAAACGGATACTTAAATGACCCAACATCTGAAGGTGGAGAAGAGAGAGGAGATTAAGAAAGAAGAAAACCAAAAAATAATGTGTATGATATCAGCATTTCTAAGGCACAACTAAACACCACTGAGTTAAAGCAGTTCACAGAATTGCTATCTTTTAAGAAATCTGAGCTGTGCAAGCACAACCCCTGGAGAACCACTGCCTTGAAAAACTGGTATTAGCTGCCACATACCATTAGCTATGATAAATCCAATGAAAACACTTCCTTGTTTCAGGCAACTTGATCTAGGACTGTTTCCCACTGCTATCTCAATTCAGATACTGAACATGTGAGGGACACAATGATCATCTCTTTGTAGCTGCTTGCAACCAAACACGCTGCTCCCTCCAGGTATGTGGGAACCAAGACACATGAAGAAATGTATTCCCGATTTGTCTGTTTCATCAGTCAAACACCTAATCACAAGGCACATGTTCATGCAGCAGGAGGACACAAGTGCTTGGGAGAAAAGCCCCTTAAATACATGAAAGCCTAGGTCAATGGAATAAATGACAACAACAACAGTAAATAGAGTAGACCCTCTATAGCACTTACTCTGTGCCGAGCAATGCTCTGGTCACTTTTACATATATGAACTTGTTTCATCCTCCCAACAACCTCATGAAGTAGATGTTGATACAGTCTCCATTTTAGAGGGGAAGTAATGAAGGCACAGAAAGGTTCAGGAACATGACCAAGGTCACGTAACTAATATATGGCAGAGCCAGTATCTGAAATCAGGCAGTCTAGCTCCAAAGTCTGTGCTTTTAATTATTATGCTCTCTCAAGGTCATTTTTCCTTGAAAAAGAATTTTCCATGGGGTCATTTAAATGGCAAGGTCACTGACATCCTTTACAACGACTGGATTTTTGTTTAGGAACACACTAACTGCACAGAGTGATGTACACAGTGTATTAGTGATGACTGAAGACAACAGGTCTGGAGGGAACAGGGGAGCTCATTAGGTTCACCTCCTTCTCCCACCTCAACAACCTATCTTGCTTTTGAAGGAGAGATGGCCCAAATACTTTCAGTGCCCTTTCCCCCACCCTTCAGACCAAACCACAGTATTAGAAGCCAGTGCATCCTCTGTAACTGTCCAGTCCTCTTCTTTCAACTATTCAGAGCAAAATCACAACTAAAGAAAATGCTTCTTGTCAAGCAAGTATATATGCATGGGCTACTGGCTATCTGCTCCAAAATCCTCAAAAAAACTAAAAGAAGACATGGATTCCAGGAAATAATAATTATAACACTCCATTGGTTAGAAAACTCTAGAGATGGAAGGCTGTTTTGAACTGGCATGTGTACAGTGTGGCGGCCACACCTCGGGGTAGCAGCTAGTGGGGGCCACTGTGGAGAGGCGAGAGAAAAGTAGTTGCAGTTCTGCTCTCATCTCTCTCCTGAACTGCCTTGGGACAAGCACATTTGGCCCCCTCCTCCAAAACAATAGACCCCAGACACCAAACGAAACCAAAAAAACCTCCAAGAACACAAACAAATAAAACACAGTTAAAACCACTGTACAAAGGCTTGCCCCAAGACACTCTACCAGGGAAAGAGAGTTGCTGATACCCACGGGGGAAATACAAGCTCAAAGGCCAAGAAAACATCTAGGCACCGGAGAAGTCCAACTATATGTCCCCCCACCCCCCAGAAAAGACAACAAACTGGATAAAACATATATTTTAAGCAAATGTATTAGAGAAGACAGACCAAGAATTTAAAATAAGCATGGAAATATTTAAGGAGATAAGGAAAGACATTAGCAATAATGTAATAATATTATGTTTAAAAACGTGAATTGAAATAAAAACACAGCCAATGGGATATTATTAGGATGGACATAGTTGAAGACTGTAGTGAGCCAGAAACAAAATAAGGCACTCTCCTAGAGGAAGCAGGGAAGGCTAAAGAACTAGAATAGTTTTGTTTTTTGCTTTGTTTTTTGTTTTTTTTTATATATTTAAAAGAAAGTTAAGAGCAGATAGAAGGAGAAATGCCAACAAAGAGGATTATGTATTTGAAAAAATAGTGGAGATAAATTTTCCAGAACTAAAAAGGGATGAATAACCTCAAATGAAAAGAACCCAAAGTTCCAGTAGAAACTACAGGTGACTTGTTTTCTGATTTTAGGGCAGTAAAGAATTTCTTAAATGAGACATAAAACTAACCATAAAAGTAAAGACTGAGGGGCGCCTGGGTGGCTCAGTTGTTAAATGTCTGCCTTCGGCTCAGGTCATGATCCCAGGGTCCTGGGATCGAGCCCCACATCAGGCTCCCTGCTCAGCAGGAAGCCTGCTTCTCCCTCTCCCACTTCCCCTGCTTGTGTTCCCTCCTCTCTCGCTGTCTCTCTCTCTCTGTGTCAAATAAATATATAAAATCTTTAAAAAAAAAAAGTAAAGACTGATAAATTTGGTCATGTTAAAATTAATTACTTCTGTTCATTTTAAATAAATCTTCAATTTAATGAAAACACAAGTTACAAACTGACTGGCTATATTTAGCCAACAAAAGTTAATAGTAAGAATAAACTATTCTTAGGAATCAATAAGAAAAGGGCAAAAAAAAATATGGGCAAAATATGAACAGATATTGCACAAGAGAGGAAACAAATATGGCCACTAAATATATGAAGGGGTCTATCCTAATTATGAACTGAGAAAATGCAAATCAAGACCACAATGAGATAACATTTCTTCCCACCTGATGGGCAAAAATTGAGAAATCTAATAATTCACAGTTTTAGAGAGGTGGCAGATCTATAGGATCTCTTATAAACTGCTGGTGGAAGTGCTGGTAGTAATCAACTGAAAAAACAATATGGAATCACCTTGTACAAATCAACATTGGTTCATATTACCCAGCAATTCCACCCTTCCGTATATACACCCAAGAGAAATTCTTGCTCACATGCACCTGGATATATGTACAATATGTTCATAAAAGCACTGTTAGGAAGTGAAAAAAAAAATCTGGAAATAACCTACATGCTTACTGATACAATGTTGTCATGATAAAATTCTGTTCAGCAGAATTACAGTGACAGCAACAGGCACCAATCACTAACATAATAGTGAGTGAAAGAAGACGCCAGTCCCAGGAGATAAGGTATGGCATGATACCATTTTTACACAGTCAAAAACAATAAAAATACAACAATATATTATTCAGGTATTCATACATATATAATACAACAAAGAAACAAGAGTCACAAGGGAACAGTAAGGACAAAACTCAGGATAGTAGCTAGCTATGAAGGGAGGCAGAGGAACGGAGGAGGGAAGTAGCATGGAGTAGACATAAGTGGTGGTCTTCTTGTAGTTAGTTCTTGGGCTGGGCGATGAGTTCATGAAACAATAACTGTGTATCATGGAACCGAGGATTATGATTAACTCAACTCGGTACATCTGGTCACTCTCCTGACTCCCAAAAGACAGAGAAGGTACTCAGAAATTTCTTGTTTTCAGTCAAAAGAACAACTTCTGGGAGTTAATATGAATAGCTGTATTGTTTGAACTTACTTCCACAAAATTTCCTGCATATACTTCTTCCAAAGTGACTTCTAGATCTACAATAATATCACTGCCTCTTGGAATATTCCTGTCTTGCTGACGAGGAGTTCCTCCAAACATGAAACCAAAATCTCCAAAGAAGCTGTGGATAAGTGTAAAATCATCAGGAAAAGAAAGCAGAGTTCATGTCTTCAATTATTTAGTTTTCTTCACATGGCTACAATATTGTGTCCTACCAACATATTGTATAAAACCTGACATTTTTAATGGGGAGTCATACATCATACACAACTTTTAATTAATACAATATCAACTATATTGTCCCCTGCCACAAAAAAATTTTTCCTTTTAATAAATATTGTCCAGGCATATAGTAAAGTGCATAAATACAGTGTGCCTATGAATTCAAAGTTGGGCTTAATCACTAATAATAATCTGTTTTAGTATCGAGGGATATCAGGATATAATGGACCTATTGAGAAAGGGCACAGTATATATAAACTCAAGTAATGCTGACTCTAATGGTAATTTTGAACATTTGTAGTGTTCACTTTGTATATTTAGGAACTAGCTTTAGTTAAGGAAGCTACTGTTCTGTATAAAACTCTTGGGTACATAATTAAATAAGCTAAAAAAGCATCAGCCTTAGTAGAATTCTGGACCTTAAGAAAAAGGAAGTTCTGTTCTCTACAGAACCAAAATCAATTTTTGTAAGTAACAAAAGCATCACTTTGAATTAATACAATGACCTTCAAATGTGCAGCTGTTCCTAATCTTAACGTTAATTTTTGATGTTAAGAAGCCTCAGGTGTGGGGCACCTGGGTGGCTCAGTCGTTAAGCGTCTGCCTTCGGCTTAGGTCATGATCCCAGGGTCCTGGGATCGAGCCCCGCATCGGGCTCCCTGCTCAGCGGGAAGTCTGCTTCTCCCTCTCCCTCTCTCCCCTGCTTGTGTTCCCTCTCTTGCTGTGTCTCTCTCTGTCAAATAAATAAATAAAATCTTAAAAAAAAAAGAAGCCTCAGATGTTAGCACAGTGATGACAACTAGGTAACTCCCTCCCACCCACCAACCAATCTTGGTGAATAGATTCCCTGAATCTTAAACAAAACCAGAGAGGGAGGATTTGCAGGGGGTAGGGGGGCAGGTGGTTGGTACAGATGGGAGCATTCTCTTTCTGGTATCACTTCTAATAGCCAAAGGGAACAGGACACTTTCCTAGTAAGCTAAAACAACCAAATCGATCCTGGGGAAGAAAAGGATTTCCTAATCATGTTACTCACACATCTTCACAAGGCCTTAAAAAACTACCGTCACCCCCAAATACTAAATGGGGGCAACCACTGTATGCAACAGTGATTCTTACCTCCTTTGGGAAAGGGTTCACAAAACCCTTTAAGAATCTGAAGAAAGCAATAAACCCTCTCTCCATAGGAAAGCATACTCGAACTTTTTTTTGTTTATAACTTCTTTTGAAACCCCAGATTAAGATCTTATATGGCATCATCAGGGCATACAGAAATTCAATAAAGAGGGGTTCAAAGAGCGTGAGGGAAAGGTGTGTATTATTCCAGCCATTTAGCACTCCCAGAAAGTCATGTGCCACAGGAGATAGAGTCTCTACCCTAACTCCTTCTACCAGTGCTGATTACCATAACTGTCCCTTTCCTGTTGATAGAATGAAAAAGAGGCAATTTTGGGTATGGGAGTAGGAATTTCTCTCTCTCTCTGCTTATAAGAATTTTAGGCATTAATGGTTTGCAGATTCTAAGACAGAGAAGAGACAGCATATAGTGGTTTCCAACATACAGGGCCCCCAACACTGTCAGGGTAATTTGACTGATATGGTGAGCTGGATGGACAGCACTTTCAGTGCTACCTGTCTTTTTTGGAACTTTATGAAAATAGAAGAATGCATTCCCACAGGGAGGAGGAGGATTGGCCTTTTGGTCAAGAATCAGTTGAGTATTATTCTTCATCAAAAGCTTCTGAACAAGGGAGCAAGGATATATCTTTAATAATCATCCAATGATCCATTCTCAGATACTAACACTTTGCAGATGGGCAAATTACTTACTGAGAAAAAATGTCTCCATGGGAGCTCTGATGACCATCTTTTAATCCCTCTTCACCATAAGTATCATATTGTTTCCGTTTCTCACTATCTGACAGAACCTGGGGACAAAAGCGAGTTGAGGAATCAAGATTAAGAGTTGGTTATATGCGGGAAAAAAAAAAAAAAAAAAAAAAAAAAAGAGTTGGTTATATGCGATTAAGGTACATTCATATTTATGTTTTTTTAAACTCTGCTACTGTGTCTAAGATTTTGTGGAATGAAGTTTTCATTATGTATGGCATTAAGGCACAGATATATTTTCTTTAGCAGACTAAATTCTTTGATGCGCTGTTCATTCTGGAACTTCCACAGTGCTCAATTCATGTCTTTACCAAAATTGGCCTAGTCCCATAAAAATCGTATCTGAGATCAGCAACGTGGCTGTGAAGGGGAGGGCAGCAACAGGAAAGAGGTGAGATGAATTCCTCAGGTTTACTTCCCATGCAGCTTGATTCTTGTGCTTGTGCTGTTCACCTCTATGAGACAGTAGCTCTCTGAACCACAGACTAGGATATGACTATGACAGACCATCATTAGTGATAGAAGCAGTCAAATGGGACAGCCTTAAAATCTGTTCAGGCCTACATGTCCACACCATATAGGTGTCTCCCCCCATACACATTAGGAGACTGACAGGTCAAATGATAGGCCCTTCAGAAAGGTCTATACTGCTATATTTTCTTATTCCCTTTTCCATTCTGGGGGTATGTAGAAATCCTTTTGTAGAAGAATGCTGTCTGCCATATATGTTTAAGCTTGTAACCTTCTGAGTCTGAATTACAGAGAGTAAAACAAACAAACAAACCACTGCTCTATGAAGACTGCTCAAGGACAATTTCACAGCTTGAAAAGATAGGGTGCATTCCATTTATAATACTGAAGAATATAAAAACAAAATAAGCTTCCATACTCTTTAAAATCTGCTTTCAACATGCCAAAAAAAGTAAAAGCTTCCCACATATATAATTTTGACAACTAAATAAGTTCATACTTTGTTATTTTAAATCTCCTATTTAGACAGCAGATTAAAGGGGAAAGTTATTTCAAACCGATACTTGCATTGGCTCAGGAAAAGAGAGGCTTGAAGTAGATGGAGCTTGTTGACTCAGCAAAAGAAAGGGTAGACCTGCCTGGCATATATAAACAGGACACACTCTTGGCTCTGGGCTGAATGATGTGTAAGGAGCCATTGCAAAAATGTTCTTTTTCTAAATTTATCTTAAATGTTACAAGAAATTGAGTGTATGAGAGAGAGCATTCTTTTTTTTTTTTAAGATTTTATTTATTTGTGAGAGAGAGAGAGAGAGAATGAGAGCACACAAGCAGGGGAAGTGGCAGGCAGAGGGAGAGGCAGACTTTTCACCAAGCAAGGAGCCCAATGCAGGACTTGATCTCAGGACCCTGGGATCATGCCCTGAGCCGAAGGCAGATGCTTAACTGACTGAACCACCCAGGCGTCCTGAGAGAGAGCATTCTTAAAAGCAGAGACAAATGGGTTAGTTCAGAAGTGACCAGAGTACTTGACTAAAGGCACTATGAAGAGTACTTGACTAAAGGCACTATGATAGTTCACATGAAAGGATTATTTTGGTAAATATCCTAAAAAAAATTAGCTACATCAGGGAAGTAGAAATGGGCAGAGTTAACTTAAAAAAACAAAAACAAAAACAAAACTCTTATTATTAAATCTGGACTTCCAATATTTTTACTTTCAAGTCTCCTGTGGTCTTGTCTTGACAAAGAAATGAACCCCACATTTGGGTCTATAAAAAACACTTCAAAACCCCCAAACAGGGACACCTGGGTGGCTCAATGGCGTAAGTGTCTGCCTTTGGCTCAGGTCACGATCTCTGGGTCCTGACTGAGTCCCTTCTCCGCCTCCTTGCTCAGTGGGGAATCTGCTTCTCCCTCCAGCTGCCACTCCCCCTGCTTGTGTGCTCTCTCTGACAAATAAGTAAATAAAATCTTTCTCACACACACACACACACACACACACACACACACAAAATAAAACCCCCAAAGACTATTTTAAAGTCAGCTTCTTTATGAAAAGCAGAGGCTCCTGGAATAACCACCCCAAAAACTATCCTTAAAGTTATTTATTATAATTCACTTCCTCCTCAGTTTTCTTCTGTCCAAGGAATGCAATTTTATTCCATGGTCTTGGAAACTATTTTATTTTCAAGAGAAAATAAAGGTTCTTAGATGATTAGCCAATCAACCCAGAGTCTCAACTAATTAAAATGCCAGCAGTAATCCCAATTCAGTAGAAAAGACAGATTTGTATTCACAAAAGACTCTTCAAGTTAACTGGGATTTTTATTTGTGAACACTAATTTATCTAAGGACCAAAGGCAATGAAGTGAGTGATACAAAGAAAAAAGAAAATTTGAACTAGTGATGAGAAAGGTTCTTAGAGTTAAATAAACTGCAATCTCATGAATGATTTATGTATAGCCTGCTTAGGTCATAGCTAAAGAACCTGGTATACTCTAAATATTTTTCTTTTCTTTTTTTTTTTAGAGACACAGAGAGAGAATGAATGAACATCAAGTGGTGGCTGAGGGGCAGAGGGCGAGGGAGACAGAGAATCCCAAGCAGGCTCCACACTCAGCATGAAGTCCAATGCGGAGGCGCTATCCCATGACCCTGAGATCATGACCTGAGCTGAAATCAAGAGTCGGATGCTCAACTAAACCACCCATGTGCCCCAACATGGTAGACTCTTTAAAGAACATGACGAATTCTTAGCAACAGGTTCCCTAAAAAATATTTTGGACTATTGGGTTCCTAGCAAAAAAAGGGACTATTTATGGGAAAATAGTGCAAAATATGGAATCCATATTATCAACAAGAACCAAAATGTTACATATAATTTAAGAGAGTCCACCAACACTATCAAGTTTATTTATGGGCCCTAGGTTAGGAATTTCAGTCCTATAGGATCCCTAAAAGTGTCAGTAGAAGAAAGGGGAACCCTATTAGCTCTAGGTTTCCCCTAGGTATAAATCAGTTTTAGTTCAGTGGATTCTTTAATCTAGGCTTTGGGATCCCTTCTTTTGGGGTTTGTCCCACTACTAAAATATTTTTCAAATTTGGTTCCAGCCTTCTCACTATCCAGGGTTTTAACTTGAATTCAGAAGTTTTAGCTCCATAACTTTCAGAGTTAAATTATTTTTTCCTGTGCCCTCTTAGAAAATGGGAATGTTATCCCTAGAGTGATAACATTGTAATGTATAACTGAAATCTGTTAAGAAAGCAGGATTTAAATGTTCTCACCATAAAAAGAAGTAAGTGAGGTGCTGGATGTGTTATTAATTACATGGGCAGAGTCCTTTCACAATGTATACATATATCAAATCATCATGATGTACACTTTAAACATTATATAATTTTGTCAGTTATACCTCAATAAGGCTGAAACCCCTCCCCCGCTGGATCTCTCATTCTAGTTCTAGAGGAAAAGTGAATTGCAACACAAAATAGCTACCTCCTAATCTAACAGACGAAAGATTGTTAGAACTTATTTGTAAGATTTTTTCACCATAGTGTTGAAAGAATCTGTGTACAACAGTTTTCCAAATAGTAAATAATTTATTAAGCATTCAATAAATATTCCTCGGTGTAATTAAAATTAAAAAAATAGAAAAAGAAAATGGGAATAAGAATATGCCCAGCTCTACTATATTTCATGGTATCCTAATGCAGATTAAATGAGATGATACTGATGAAAGTGTCTTCATCTCCTGATTAGAGCCTACAAATTACAAACTGTAGCTGTGTTTTGTTTGATCTGCACAAAAAAGAAATTTTTAAATTGAATTAGTTACCAACATTTTCCAATCAAAAGAATTACAGAAAAATCTGGATTTCCACTTCTCTTGAAAAATTACATGATCTGGCAACACCGTGTTTCCATTTGTACATGGCAAAAACTGGCTGGGGTTGAGTAACAGCTGTCCCCTTGGAAATGGGCAAGAAGGCTTCAGTTTGTCACAGTCCTCATCAATCCCTGTTGATTCCCAACATGGAGGTAGAATATTCACTGTCATGTTTTATCTTATAACTGCCCTGCATGTTGTGTGTCTGATCCATGTAAACATGTTGATTTGCAATCCTCATTTAGATTTTGTTTCTATTTCTGGCTCTAGCTCCCAAACTGATTGAATGATGATCAATCTACTCATTAATCTATCAATCTTTCTTTCTTTCTTTCATCTTTTTCACCTTACTCTCCTTAATCAAACAAAAACTAATATGAAAAAATTAGAAAATAGCATAGACTAACATTAATACACAATATAGCAGCAAACACTACTTTTATTTTTATCTATTGCCTGTTTTTAAAAAGAAGTGACCTGAAACAAAGGAGTGTTACTCTGTGTTACACTGACTTTTCTCTATCCGTAGGCTTTATTCATACTTCATCTTTTTCCCAACTCACCTCATAAGCAGCACCTAGATCCTGGAATTTCTCCTGAGCTCGAGGATCATCAGGGTTCCGGTCAGGATGAAGCTGTAGCGCTAGTTTCCTGTAGGCCTTTTTAATGTCTTTTATAGAGGCACTGCGAGGCACCCCTAAGATCTTATAGAAATCTCGCCTGGGGAATAGGGAGGAAGAGAGGGTACTTCATTAAAGAGTTATACATTACATTTTTAAAAGTGAAATTTTTTCCTATACATTTAGGTTTCTGTATGAGCAAACAGGTAGGAAAATGAAGGTATACATGTGACACACAAAAAAGAATGACTAAAAAGAGAACACATCAGAATTTGTAATGAGTCATATATTGAAGTAGTCACAATGAGAGGCTATGCACTTTTTGAATTTTGCCAGAATTATTCAAAACATCTGCGGTACGCTTCTCTTAGAACTATCTTCAGGCAAGAAAACTATTTTATTTATGGTCACATGTTATTTTCAACCAATAACCGTATGATCAAATTAACTCTCTCCTTTTTCCTTCCCTCTATTAGTGACTTCAAATGATGTCAACCAAAGGATGATTTTCTTTATCCAAAAAGATTACATCACATGAATGTTCTAATAGTAGCTTTGTTTGGAATGTTAAACATGAAGTGACTGAAATTAACGTGAGAGGTTAACATAGAGGTTAAGCCAAAACCTAGTAAGAACCCGGAAGAAAGAATAACATCCATTTGGAGTTATTTTGCTAAAAGTGAGAGAAATAATCAATCTTGCATTCATTGCTAGTGGTTATACTGGTTTATCTTGGTCAAGTCTTAATTATAGACAGCTGCTGAAGCCCATATGCAGGAGCCTAAAAGTCTCAGCAGCTACAAATATACATATGGCATGAGCTGGGAGATAAGGTACAGATTCACCGACCTCCTTGCAAGGGACTATGCTGAAACCAAATTACTTATAAAAGGAATCTTTGCAAGAAGGACCAATGGATGGAACAGACTATAATAAACTTTCAGGTCAGGGACTGTAGTCCACAGAAGACATCAACAAATAATCGTTGAATGAAATGAATAAATAAGCATGCTCACAAAAACCTACTCCTTTTGCCAGAGTCACTTTAGCCATCAAAAATTACTCTGAAAATGCATTTCTCAACACAGGGGATGGGAAAGTTGTTCACAATGGACATGCCAATGTAGTAGTGATGGTGATTTTAAAATGCAGTGGGGATAAAATGCATTGGGGTGCCAGGTGATATAAGAGAGAACACTGAAAAAATTATTTCATAAGCTCTTAGTCCCATTTTGGAAAGTCATTTAATCATTTCAGGAATAAGTTTGAAAAATTATCACCCCCAAGGGATTCCATGAGACTTAATTAGATGCTTTATCCTCCCCTCCAAAATCTGCAAACACCCTTGAGATCTCTTGAGACAAGGACTAAATAAATCAAAAGGTTCACTAAAATTAATAACAAAAGAGCTGTTTAAAGAATGAGGCTTACTTAGAATATGCTTAATATAAAAATGGCTAAGTAACATCCCAGAAAAATCAGGGAAAAGATGGCTAGCATCCCAAAAGACTTCTTTATAAAAAGGCTGACATTTAAAGCTACAGAATTAACAATATTCATACTGACATTTTGTTTAAACATCTTAGGGTATGTGTTGCTTTAAGTGAAGGACTGACAAAAACATACTAAGAAAAACAATAGAGCATTACCTAGAAGAAATTAATTTTTTTAGCAATTTAAAATGTTTCACAAGGAAAAAAAATGACAACAAAGTTTAAGCATATATGCACAGGGAAAAAGACTTTTAAGAAATAACAAGCACTTTAAAGTTTAAAGCTTTGCTAAGTAGCATCTCCTCCAGTTAGAGAAATGTAGGAATTGTTAGAAGCTAAGACTTCCCCACATTCAAAAATATGAGCCTGGCATATCATATCCTGTGGTCACCAGGCTTTAGGACCATGGATCTAAAAGGCTGGAAGAATCCTTAAGAGTTCAGGTGGTCCTACTCCCTTCATAGAGGGGGCACCTTATTATCTTCATGTTACAGATGAGAATTTAGGTGGTTCCTACAGAGGCACAGAATTTGTATGTGGGTTGGGGATGGGTGGTCTTGAATTCTACCTCACTACCTGTTGGTGAAGTGCTCTTCGCGTTCATAAGATCATAAAGCTTCTCAAGAATGCACCACGGCGAGAGACAGTGAAGCATGATGGATGACATTTATAGGCTGAATTATCTCAAGAAGCTGGGAAATACAAGAACTCTCCAAAGAGTCTGCCTTGCTCCCTCAACCCAATTTCCTTCGGTCCCAGCATGGCTTCCCTATCTGTTCTTACTTCCTCACTCAGCCTCGCATCATAACCACCCACTTTAATATCAGCCCCCCCAGTGGCTTGTTGCAGCCTCAAACATTTATATGGTCCTCTTCTGCAGCTCAGCAGCAACCCCACCCCCACGGTGCGTCTGGCACTGCATCCAAATTCGACTCCTTTGGGCAAATCTAGCTCTAAGGGCCTCTGGACCTAAGCCCCTCTCACTCGTGCCACCCACTGCTCTCCTCTCCACCCCGCTAGCCTGGCCCACACGACCCATTCTTCTGCCCCCACCGCCTCACCTCAGCAACGCCCCTCTCCACTCCCTCAGTCTGGCAATGCTCCCTCATCCCCAGCCAAGACTGACAGACTCACGGGCCCCGTGCCCGCGGGTGCCTGTTCCTCACCCGGCGATCACGGCCCCGAGGAGGTACAGGAGCAACAGGCAGAAGGTGCCCAGGTTCTGCGGGGCCATGGTTTCTCGGTGCCGCCCTCTGTGCCGGTCCCTAGCCCACGCGCTCCTCAGAGCCTCCGCCGCCGCCGCGTCGGCTCACCAGACCACCCGGCGCTGAGAGGCCGCCTCACACCGGGGTCTCCTCCTTGGTCCGGAGCGACAGCTAGCTCGCCCCCTCCTCTGCCCAGTCCACTTCCCGGGAGTCCCGAGTCCCCGTGAGAGAAGCCCCCAGCAGGCGAGAGCCAATCGCTGCCCGGGACATCACACGCGGCCGGCGCCTCGCAGCCAATCAGCGCAGTACACTTCACCTCCGAGGCGGCGCGGGCGGCCAGTTAGGCCTCCGAATTGCAGCCGCAGCTCCGGGCCAATTAGAGGAGGAAACGTCAGAGAGTCGCGCCGCCGCAGGAATCCGCTCTGCCCCGGTAGCCGCGAGTCGTAGAAAATTACGTAAAAAGGCGGTGGGGCGAACTGGTGCCAAGAGAGGGCACTCGAGGTGCATGAATTACCCCCGCCCTCCACCTCGGACTCTCCACCAATCACAAGGCTCTGCTTCCAGTACCGACCAATTACGGGAGGGAGGATTTATCTTGTTACAAGTCTGGGAATTTCATTCATATTGAACTTTACGCTGGATGCGGGAGCGGAGGGACACAGGAGAAATGGGCGGGGACAATTACTCTACGCCAACGGTAGGGCGACCGCGTTGCTTAAGAGATCTTATTTTACCCTCTTGGAACAAGCCCGGAAGAAAATTGCCTCAGGGTCACCGAGAAGAGGCCGTGGATTCAGCTTCCATCACTTAGCGGTGAGAACATCCCCCTTCCCTTACCCCCCAGTCTAGCCTAAGCTTTATTTACAAACCTGAGGCAAAACATTTTTCTGGCAGTGTTGTGAAATTTTAATGGGAGAAAAGCTGTAAACTGTCTAACACAGCGTCTGGCACAGTAAGCACGCAGTGAATAACTATTATCACACTTAGGAGAACTCTTTGATTCCCCCCATCTACTTGTTCATGACAAAATTCTAGGTGTCTTCCTTGATTCCGCCCCTGTATTCCCTATCCAAATCTTTGCCTTTAAACTATATCCTGAATCTGTCCACTTCTGTTCATCTCCACTACCTCTCTGGGCCAAGTCACACCATTTCTTACCTAGCAAGACCTCCTAAGTGGTCTCCCTGCCTCCACTCTTAATATTTTACTATCTCTTATTAATTCCTGACCCCCAACCCCATGATTTTTTGCAGACATGTCAGATCACGTCATTCCCCTGCTCAAAACCCACTAATGGCTTTTCATAGTGCGTAAAATAAAATCCCAACTCTTTACGCTAGCTTACAAAACTGTGTCTTAATAAAGATGGTAAAAAATTTTAAAGCCTAGTATGATCTGTGCCCTCACGTAATATACTCCTTACCATGTTCCAGCAAAACTGGTTTTATTTTTCTAATACATCAAACCTGTTTCTCCCAAAGGCCTTTGTTCTAGCTGTTCTCTGCCTGAAGCACTCGTCCCTTAGTTTCTAACATGGGTGACTCCTTTTACACTCAGATAAGTTGAACTGTCACTACTTCAGAGAAGACTTCCCTGACCAATGAAAAATAGCCCCTGCTGAGTCCCTTAGTCTTACACCATCCTATTTTGTTTCCATCCTTACCCCCCCCACTCACACAACTGTATGCCAGTTTCAAGAGAGCATAAATCTAGACTGTTCTGGTCACACCTGAATAGGACAGCCCCTCGTCGGGCTCCCTGCTCCGCGGGAAGCCTGCTACTCCCTCTCCCACTCCCCCTGCTTGTGTTCCCTCTCTCGTTGTCTCTCTGTGTCAGATAAATAAAATCTTTAAAAAAAAAAAGAACAGAGCCTGCCACAGAGTAAAAGTTGCTTCAACTGTGATCTTCCTATGCTGGCTTCTTATACGTCAGTCCTCAGATCAAACTTGGCATTGACCCTCCCCTCCCTCCAAATTTATAGCGTTTATTAAATTATGAAACTGTCCAATTTTTTCCTTAATATGTATTACCTATTCTCCCTATTAAAATACGCACTCCAAGAAAGCAAGGATCTTATCTATTTTGTTCACTGCTGTGATCCTAGTGCCTAGCACTGTGCCAGACACACAGTTGTGCTCAATAATCATTGCTGTTGCAAAAAACAAAGGCATAGAAAGGTGACAGAATCTGTTCAAGGTCACTGAACTATTTAGTGGTGCAGCTTGAATTCTCACCCCGATCTGTTTGAATCCAAAGCCCCTATCTACTCTTGGCTCATACAGAGGTAAGGGGAAGACGAGGTTACTGCTTTCAGGAAGATGCCTACTGGAGGAGAGAGGCCACATAAAAGAGGACCTAAATCGCATTTTATGGTCTTATTTACCTTTGTAACTCCCACACCTATACAAGCCATAAACGAACTAAGAAACCAGAAAATGGCTAAAAATCATTAAGTGGAGGCTTCGAGGAAGGAGGGGTGTCTTCTGCAGGGTGGAATCCAAAAAAGCTTCATGAAAGCGGTAACGTGGCGGGAAAGCTAACAAAGCCTGCGGGCTCTTTTGTTAAGGAGCTAATAACCCCGGGGGCTCTGGCTTCAGACGGCCTGGGTTTCCTGGGTTTCGCTCCTGGCTGCTTTCTTGCTGTGACCTTAGGGGTGTGTTACTTCCACCTCTCTACGCCTTAGTTTAGTTGTCGGTAAAACAAACATCCTTAACCTAAAGGGCTCTTGGGAAGACAGATAATACACATAAGGGTGCTTTACACAGGGCCGGCCCGCGGTGAACGCTATAAATGTAAACTGTCACTGTCATTACATTACTGATCAAAGCGTGCTGACCTTACCAGCAGCTATTGGCTGACCATAGACGTGTAGAGAAATAGAAAACTTCCTACTTCCCTGAGGTGAAAGGCGCGATACCCGAAGCGGCCGGGTCTGGCTCCAGGCCCCAGCACCGAGGACTCTTGGCCTCGGGCAAGTACTGCGCTTGAGGAAGAAGCGGGAGGCCGCTCTAGCACCATCAGCCTCCAGTTCTCGGTGGCGCGAGGCCTGACGCTTGCGCAGTGGCTGAGGCGGCGGGCGAGGGGCGGGCTGGGCGAGCTGGGCGCGGCGGCGCGCCGAGGGTGCGGCGGAGCGGCCCTGCCTTCGCAGGTAACCGCGCGCGGGCCGACGCCGGGGCCGGAGGGCGGGCCGGGGAGGCTGCCCTTTGGCTCCCCAGGTCTCGGGTCCGCCACGGAGCCTGCCGGCTGGGGGTTCCCAGTTCCCAGAGTCCGGCCGGGGAGCTCGTGCGGCCCGGACCAGGACGGCGTCGGAGGTGGTGGCGAAGGACCCGGTCCCGGAGGACCGCTGGGCGTCTCACGCCCATCTCCCCGCCTGAAAAACCCCACCCCAGCGCTCCCAGGGGCTGCTCTTGAGAGGGAAAGAGCCCATGTTTGTTAGGAATTTAGCCCTCTCGAGTCTCAGAATTCATTCCCCAGGATCTGGCTTTCGATTGCACACTTCAGAAACAGGAGTTGAGGATCTCACAGAGCAGCCTCTTTCTGTCTCGGGGCGAACTAAGGTCTTCCTCACGTAACTTCATCTTTTTTCCTCAGAGCAGCGCTCAGCCATTCCCACGAACGAAGAGAGCTGCGCTTTACCCTCTCACCCTTCTTTTGGGTTTTAGGCCCCCGCGTTCCTTTACCTGGCGCTATGTGGCCTCACATCTAAGGCCACTCGTTCTGGTAATCCTCTTCTGGATCCACTCCCATTTTCCAGAGATTTTCCCAAAACTGGGTTCCTAAAGTACATTTGTAAGTAACACAGTTCTCAAGTCAGACAGACTTGAATTCTAATCCAGGGTGGTGCCAATCTAAGTATGTGACTTTGGGTAAGTCCCTTAACTTCTCCAAGCCTCAGTGTGCTCGTCTGAAAATGGGGACAGTCCTATCTCTAGATGGTTGAGAGGACGAAGGGTGAAGAACGAAAAATACTTAGCCTGCTACCTGGAACATAGTAAGCATCCAATTGATGTCAATTATTTTTTGAGCAGATAATTCCTCAAAGAGGCATGACGTTCTTGGAATCAAATGGAATGTATAATAATAGCAATAAAACATTTTTCATCAGGCATATAAAGAAGGTTTTTTAAGTGATGTTATTTAATGCTGAGGAGTGCTCAATGGTTAAGTGGTACTCGATGGTACCTTGGTCAAGTGATGGTAGTTTGATACAGTCATCTTGGAAAGCCATGGAAATATATGTCAGGAGCTTTAGAAATGTCATTTACTTCATTTCACCAATGCATATCTGAAAATTTTCTCAGAAATAGTCATAGTGCAGAAAATATGCAGAAAGATGGTAATTATAGCATTATTTATAATTGTGAAACACTTAAACTTTTTGTTTTATTTTTAATTGAAGTATAGTTGATATATTAGTTTCAGTTATATAGCATAGTGATTTGACAGTTATATACATTACAAAATACCACTGGGGTGCCTGGGTGGCTCAGCTGGTTAAGCCTCTGACTCAGTCTCAGCTCAGGTCTTGATCTCAGTTGTGAGTTCGAGCTCCCTGTTGGGCTCCACGCTGGGTGTGGAGCCTACTTAAATAAAACAAAACAAAACAAAAAAACACACGCAGAGAGTATAGTTGCCATCCGTTACCATACAAAGTTATTACAATATTATTGACTATATCCCTATGCTGAACTTCTCTTCTGTGTGACTTATTTTATGACTGGAATTTTATACTTCTTAATCCCCTTCACTCTTCGCCTACATTTAAATTTTCTACAGTGGAAAATTTTAACATATACAAAAGTAGACTAGGTAAATAAACCACCATGTGCTTATCACCCCACTTCAACAATGATGAGTATTTTGCCTATCTTGTTCTTGTGAAAAATTTTAAACCTACTTCATGTCCGAAAATAGGAGAACAGGTGAATAAACTAGGGTACCTTTATTTAGAGTGCTATGAAGCTTTTAAAATAACAGAACTGTATATATGCTATTATCACAAGTTTGAAAAATCAAAAACTAACATCCAATCTATGTAGAAAAAGAGATGGAAAGGAAGTACAATAGAATATTAACGAGTTTCCCTTTGATGGCGGGACAGTGAATGATTTCCTCCCCTTCTATTTTGAGATATAAGTATTCCATAAAAATTATGTATTGTTGTTATAACAAAGAAACAACAAACAAAATCTGAAATCACTGCACCTGAACTAAGCACAAAGAATATGCCAGAGCAAGTTCACTGTTACGGAGAACAAAAAGGATCTCTTTCTGCAGCCCGCTCTTATGTGAGCATTTGTCTGCCACATCACATTAGTGCTCATATTGAACTATATGTCCGCTAACATGTCCACATCTTTAACCCCCCATCCTCTATGTGTAAGTGATTTGACTCAAATTTTATTCCCCTTATTTTGACTAGCTTTGCCCCTCAGGGTAGGCAGAGATTTCCTGTGAAGAGATGACTCTCCCATTTCTTCTTTTCTTCCTTTCCTGAGCAGGATTCCAACTCATACTTCATGCGTTTATACACTCTCCCTAAAACAACCACTTCGAACAATTCAAGTAAGATAATTTTGTTTTATCACACAGTTTTTCTTGTTCAAATCGATTGTAGTGACATCTGACCGAAAATTTATTCTGCACTTGGTTGATAAACTAGATCTGCTTTTTATTATTATTTGTATTGTTATGTTAATCACCATACATTACATCGTTAGTTTTTGATGTAGTGTTCCATGATTCATTGTTTGCGTATAATCCCCAGTGCTCCATGCAGAACGTGCCCTCTTTAATACCCATCACCAGGCTAACCCATCCCCCCACCCCCCTCCCCTCTAGAACCCTCAGTTTGTTTCTCAGAGTCCATGGTCTCTCATGGTTCGTCTCCCCCTCCGATTTTCCCCCCTTCATTCTTCCCCTCCTGCTATCTTCTTCTTCTTTTTTTTTAAACATATAATGTATTATTTGTTTCAGAGGTACAGGTCTGTGATTCAACAGTCTTACATAATTCACAGCGCTCACCATAGCACATACCCTCCCCAATGTCTATCACTCAGCCACCCCATCCCTCCCACCCCCCACCACTCCAGCAACCCTCAGTTTGTTTAGATTTGCTTTTTAAACTGACATAGTACATCTTAAAATAGTGAAGGGAGAGGGCCACCTTAAAGAAAATGTATAAATGGAAAAAACAGACAAAAACACAACAACACAAAGTACATGTATAAATGAGTTTTGTTTCAAATCAGTGTGTGAAAAAACTTCTGTTTCCTAGGTATGCCAAGAAGCCTTATCACACAGATGTCCTTCGAGATAATATGGATCAGTCCGGAGTTCTCCTCTGGGTGAAAGCAGAACCCTTTATAGTGGGTGCCTTGCAGGTCCCCCCTCCGTCCAAGTTCAGTCTTCACTATCTCAGGAAGATATCCACATATGTGCGAACCCGGGCCACAGAAGGAGCTTACCCACGCCTGTACTGGTCTACATGGAGGCACATTGCATGTGGGAAGCTGCAGTTGGCTAAGGATCTGGCGTGGCTTTACTTTGAAATATTTGATAGTCTTGCAGTAAAGACACCAGAGGAGCGCCTGGAATGGTCTGAGATTCTGTCCAACTGCATGTCTGAGGATGAAGTTGAAAAGCAAAGAAATCAGGTATGGATTTATATGTATTTGTATGTGTGTTTAATTATTTTGAGAAATAAACTATCTTTAATTTTTGTACTAGGTGTACACAGTGTGTGGTTTTAGGTCAATGGCTATTGTGATCCCAGAGTGCCATTTTTTTTTAACCGTTCCAGTTGGGCAGTATTTAATGAATTAGCCCTTACTTAGCAATCTCTGTTCACCTACTTCCAAAGCAGTAATGTTACAAGAACCCTGTAATTGAAAGAGGGAAATGCTTTCACTGACTTTAAAAACATTTTAAGGTGAGTGAGTGATTATGAGTCATTGATACGTTACAGTCAGAGAATCTGACTATTTTTAAGTGGGCATCTGCTATGTGCTGGGATTCAAAGATGACTGGAACAGCATCTCTGCCCTCCTGGAGCTCAGAGACTAGTAGGGGAAGTTGGTGTGTAAAAAAAGTGCTATTTGACAGTGTAGAACGTATAGTAGTGAAAGTGTGCATAAAGTACAGAAATAGCATAGGGAAGAGAATGGTTAGTTCTGGTGATCAGGAAAGACTTCACAGAGAAAGTATATTAATCAGAGTAGGCTCATTACAGTAACAAACATTCCTGCCATTTCAGTGGCTTAGCACAGTGACAGTTTATTTCTCATTCATGCAGCAGTATGACACAGGGCATCTGGTTGGATGAGTCTCTAGGCTGCTGTTGTCCAAGCAGTGACTCAGGGAGCTAGTCATCTTCTGTCTCTTGAAGGCACAATTTTATTAGCTTTGTTGCAGTTAAAAACAAACAAAAATGAAATTCCAGTGGCCTACAGTAACAAAGGTTTGTTTCTTGCTTCTTTTACGTGCAGCCTGTACTTTAGCTAGAGCTAAAGGTTATGGCTTGACTCCATGTGTCTACTCATTTGGGGACCCAGGCTAAAGAAGCATATTCTGTATAGTTAACGCCTATTCTGTGACAGAAGAGAAGAGTAGCAGAGCAGGAGAAACCTCATGATGCTTCTTTTGCTCTGATGGGACATAAACTGTAACTAGTTTCATTCCATTGGCTAAAGCTTTGTTATATGTCTGTATCTAAAATCAGGAAGATGGAGAGGTAGACTACCTCCCAGTAGGTAGGGCAATCCCATGGCCATGGATAAGCCTCCTAGAGGATGTGGAAGTGAATAATTGCAGGTATAATACAGTTTGCCCCAGTCATGCCCACTAGGGCCTCAGAGTCCTTCACTTCGTGGAGTGTTTTTGGGAGATTTGAAGGTGGTGTATGTCAATCCACCCACATTCCATTGACCGTAACCCAGTTATACCATGTCTAACTTCAAGGGAGGCTGAGAAATGCCATCTAAATGCGGGCCCAGGAAGAAAAGAAAAGGTATTTAGTTAGTATCTAGCCACTCTGTGCCACATGGGGTAGTATCTAAACAAGGTTTGGAAATTGAAAAGTTTGGCAAGAGAGGAAGGACATAGTTACTCATTAATTAAATATTAAGTGCTTACTATGTATGAGGTACAGTAGTGGATGCTGGATACAGAGATTAATAAAACCTTCAAGAAGCTCCAGATTTTTTGAGTGCTTATTATGTGCTAGATTCTATGCTAGTTATTAGGAATATAAAAATGAAAAAGATGAGGATCTTACAGTCTCATGAAGAGGAAGGTATATGAATAATGATAAGATAACAAAGAATTGTTAAATGGAAGTATGTATAAAATGAAGGAATTTTGCTGATTTAAAAAAAAAGCCAGTTCCGGGCACCTGGGTGGCTCAGTTGGTTAAGCGACTGCCTTCGGCTCAGGTCATGATCCTGGAGTCCCGGGATCAAGTCCCGCATCGGGCTCCCTGCTCGGCGGGGAGTCTGCTTCTCCCTCTGGCCCTCCCCCTCTCATGTGCTCTCTCTCATTCTCTCTGTCTCAAATAAATAAATAAAATCAATCAATCAATCAATCAATAAATAAATAAATAAAAATTTTAAAAAAGCCAATTCCAGAAGGTTATAGACTGTATAATTCCATTTATATAACATTCTTTTTTTATTTTTTTATTATTATTATTATTTTTTAAGATTTTATTTATTTGTTTGAGACAGAATGAGAGAGAGAGAGCACATGAGAGAGGGGAGGGGCAGAGGCAGAAGCAGGCTCCCTGCCGAGCAGGGAGCCCGATGCGGGACTCGATCCAGGGACTCCAGGATCATGACCTGAGCCGAAGGCAGTCGCTTAACCAACTGAGCCACCCAGGCGCCCCTATATAACATTCTTGAAATAACAAAATTAGAGAGATAGAGAACAGATAAGTGATTGTCAGGGATAAAGGAAGGGGTGAGGGTGGGAGGGAAGTAGGAAGTAGTTGTGGCTATAAAAGGGCAACATGAGAGATCCTTGTGTGGATGGAAATGTTCTGTAACTTGGCTGCATCAATGTCAACACCCTGATTGTGCTACTGTATTATAGCTTTGCAAGATGGGAAACTGGATACAGTGTACCCAGGATCTCTCTATTAGTTCTTACAACTGCATGTGAATCTACAATTATCTCAAAAAATTTAAGAAAGTAGCATTTTAAAAAATACGTAGATTCATGGGGTTCTGATTGACAGTTGATTAAATAGATCTAGGTGGTCCTGAGAATGTGTATTTTTCAATTCCTTAGTTTAGCAATTTTTAGCCAGGTTGGGAAGCAGGGTGAATACAGCTGTAGTACCAGATGTATTACATTTTTGTGTCTCCTGTATGTGTATGGGAATGGGTATATGAGGATAATCATGAGCTTCAAATCCTGAGCTTCAATACCTTTCTTCAAATAAGAAATGACTTATAAACATCTATCAGACCAATAGTATTTTTTAAGTCAAACACTCTTTTAAGAACTTGATGAAAACCTGAGTCCTCCTCCCCCACAAAATGCACATACACCAAAAAATTGCATACAATTTCAGATGTTGCATTGATACCCTAAATTTTTTTTGATAAGTCTGTGAGCCTTAGGTTAGACTAAACTGAATATTTTGGTGAAATTTTCTTCTTCCTTTCTTCCATTTATTTATTCAAGTGACTAAAGTTTGTCTTTTTTATTTTAACTGCAATTTTAAACTTCTGAAATACTATACTTTTAAAAAATATGTACTTCATCCTCCTCTTCATCGATTTTGGGGAGAGAATGTCTATGGCCATAGATGCTACATAGCTTTCTGAGAAGGTAAGTGACTCCAGTTTAATTAGTTTTAGAAACTCCTATATCTGGGTATCAGAAACATACATATCAAATGCTAGCAAGTTTCTACATTTTTCTTTTTAGGATTTGCAAACTGTTGTGAATTTATTTTACTGTATCTCCTTAGCTGTAGACTAGGAACTGATGTGGTTTAGGACATGTATTCATCATCTCTTTTCTTTTTGGCCAGCTTTCAGTGAACACCCTACAGTTTCTGCTCTTCTTATACATACAGCAGTTAAACAAGGTCTCCCTGAGGACATCTTTGATTGGAGAAGAGTGGCCTAGTCCCAGAAATAGATCTCAGTCTCCTGATTTGACTGAAAAATCCAGTTGCCATAATAAGGTACTGTTTAAATTTTGGTCTCCTTCTTTGAAGGGACAATTTATGAGGAAGATGATTTGCCTTCATTAAAAATTGTGTTGGGATTACTTATATAAGCCAATCATTTGTTGATGTGGTTTTTTTTTTTTTGCTTTTCTGTTTCTTTTCCTTATTATAAAACAAAATAAATATTTGCAATCTTAGTCCAAGTATAGAGAAGTAATTTCCATTCATTCCTTCAGTGACCACAAAAATCTCATGATCCGGGGGCAAATTATTCACTGTACTCTCATTAGCATTCTCATTTTTGCAAATGTTAATGAATTTGAATCTACTTTAGACTAAGGATAAATGAGAAGATGTAGTGTTTACAAAGTCTGTTGAAATCTACTGAAAAATATTTCTATAAAAATATCTTTTCATATGTTTAAGTGATGTGCTTTGATACACTTAAGCTGAGCATGCTTGTGTCATATTATATGATGCAACAACATAGAAGTTAAACTTAACTGCCTCACATTGTGAGTTTTAGAAATTGTATTATTTCTTCTTTCTGTTTTTGTAAAGAAAACTGAAATGTTTTTACCTGTTTATTTAAAGGTATTCTAAAAAACCTTAAGTAAAACATAGATCTCAGTATTACTGCCATGTGCAGGTTCTTTAAAAATGTTCTGAGGCAAACAGCGACAACAAAAACCTTTCTGATATTTGGCACTTTTATAATCTCCTTTTTCAAGTAAACCCGTCCACCCTTACGTTCCATGATACGATTCCCTCCTGGTTGTGCTTCTCATTTTTTCTTCTCACTCTTCATGAGCCTCCCCACTGGCCCCTATAGGCCACTATTCCCCCAGGATTCTGCCTGGGGCAATTTTGTCTTCTCGCTAGACATATTCTTAAAACATAATTCTTCTCTTCCTGTGACTTCACATATCTCAATGACTCCTAAGTTTGTCTCTATTCTAGATTTCCCTCCTCATGTAGATGCCCTCTCTATACCTTAAATTCAGAATGTCCAAGTCCAGATGTATTAGGCCAATTATTGTCTGTTCTTTCCACACTTATTTCCTGTTGAATGGGCACCATGCAGAGATGGTGTTTTGAACTAAGGTAGTCTGCATTCAAATTGGCTCTGCCATTTAATACCACATGATTTTAGGCAAGTCGGTTAACTTTTCTAGGCCTTGGCTTGTCTTTTGTGAATGGGGATGATAATTCCTATTTCTGAGTGGCTGTGAGAATTTAGTAATACATTAGCATGAGACTTGTTGCTTAGTAGGCATCAGTAAATGGTGACTCTCAGTTTGTGCTATAACATGACCTCTCCCAACAACTGATTAGACCAGAGGTGGACACTTGACTAGAGTAACCCATTCACAGGTACGTATTTGAAACTGGTCTGGTTTGAATTGATGACATGGCCCAGTCAGTGCCCCCAGGAACTGAAGAAATTACCAGTTTGTGCTGGGTGCCTGAGCTGGCGGCTCAGGTAGCACTGGGACCAGAATAGCCAGCATGTTTATAAGTGACCTGGAGTTAGGAGGGATTAGAAACTCTGAGGTAATCAGAGAAAAAGAATAGAATGGAACAGACATGTAGAGACACTGGCGAGAGAGTACCAGGCCCAAGGTGGCCTTCCAGTTCCAGTTCTGATGAGGCCTACCTGTACTTCAGCTTGGGAGATGACTGTGTGTCTCTACAGTAAAATCTCCCTTTACTTGAATTGACTTATATTCCCGAAGCCAGAGAAGGTTACCACCAGCTACCCATGCTTATTCTCTCAGCACCCATACCTAGTTTTTTGTCAAGTCTTACTTATTCTGCCTCCAAAATAACTCTAATTTAAAAATCTGTCCCTCTTTGGGTGGCTGGCTCAGTTGGTGAAGCGTGCAACTCTTGATCTCAGAGTTGTGAGAGTTCAAACCCCACAGTGGGTGTAGAGATTACTTTAAAAATAAAATCTTTAAAAATAAAAATAAAGTCTGTCTCTTTTCTTCCTCTTATATAGGCCATACTGACATTCGGGGCGGGGGGGGCTTGATTTCTATAATTAGGCCCTATATGGTCACCTGCTTTTAGTCTCCACTCCACCTACTACACTGGACTTTCTAAATGCAGAAGGATTATATCTGTTTCCTGTCAAAACTCCCATCAGTAATTATTATTGTCACTGTTGTTTTCATCTTGTGCTCCATGGAGCCACCTCAGAGCCTGCTATGGGTGAGGGGGATGCAGTAAGAGAGATGAAGAGCGACAGCCCTGCTTTGACATGTTCTATGGTATCCAGATGAGAGTTTATTAAAAAGAGAAAATGTATAGCTATTTAGAAAATAGTTTTAAAGTCCCTGGCACACAAAATAAGGCCCAGATGCTTTAGTGTTTCATATAGGCCTTTCATGATTGGTCCCTACCTCCAGTTTTCTGAACACGGCAGGTACTTTTATTGCTATGGATCTTTGCGTATCGTATTCCATAGGCCTAGAATGCCTTTTTTCCTTGTTTGTTTGTGTAACTAACAACATTAATCAAGAATCTGTTCAAACAGCACTCCATGATGATTTTTTCCCCCCAGAGGGGTTCCTTACTCCTCTCCGGCTCATAGCATGTCTTTACAGATCTCTGCTGTAGTTCTTATCTCATTGTGCAACAGTTGCTTGTATTGTCTTTTCACTACATAGGCTCTGAGTTCCTTGAGGACAAGAACTATGTCCTATTCAATTTGCCTAATTCATCACTTAACACTGCTCATACCACATAAGAGATATTCAAGAAATATCTGTCAAATGAATGAGCCAAGTCATTGAGACACCTGCCAACTCAAAGCTTATTCCAAAAGTGATAACTTCTCTTAAATCTAGCTACTGTAAGGTCAGTTGCATTGTTCCATCCAGTGGAATTTGAAACTCCTCCTGTAATACGAGAAGGTAAATAAAGAAACCCAGTGTTTCATCAAATGAATGTCCAAGGTAGCTATTTTTATGTTAGATCTGAAACTTAAGAGTATTTACTAGCTGTGTGACCTTGAGCAAGTTTCTTAACCTTTCTGTATCTCCATTTCCTCATTTGTAAAATGGGCATGGTAACGGCGTCTATTGCAAGATGGTAGCTAGGATTAAATATGTTAAAGTTTGTACAACACTTTGTGGTTGGCACACACTAAGGATTAGCTATAGTATTACTTTTGAACTACCTAAGGAAGGGAGAGAATCTATTTATACCTATCACATAATATTAAAAAATCTTTATAAGGTTTATATTGTTGCCTTAAATGCTTTTTTAGGAGGTGAGGCAAAGTAGAAATACAAAATAATTAAAATACAAAGTTTTCAGGTCTTGTAAAATCTGTTCTGTTAAGAGTGCTTTATTTTGATATTTTTTAGAACTGGAATGATTATAGTCACCAAGCATTTGTCTGTGATCATCTGTCAGATCTCCTTGAGCTGCTTTTAGATCCAGAACAACTCACTGCATCATTTCATTCGACCCATAGTAGTCTAGTCTCTCGCGAAGCTGTTGTGGCCCTCAGCTTTCTTATTGAAGGTACAGTGAGTAGAGCCAGGAAGATATATCCACTTCATGAACTTGCTCTGTGGCAACCACTGCATGCAGAAAGTGGCTTCTCAAGGATCTCTAAGACCTTTTCTTTCTACAAGCTGGAAGCCTGGTTGAGAGCCTGTTTGACGGGGAATCCATTTGGTACATCTGCTTGCCTTAAGTCTGGAAAGAAATTGGCTTGGGCTCACCAAGGTATTTTTTCAGTATTTTAATCTATATTAAATTGAATGACAAGTTAAGGAACCTAGTGTTTTCTGGTGTGTTAATAATCACATCTCTTCTGGAGACCTACAAAATATTGCTACCATAAGAGAGGAAAAGGGAACCACTGTCTTTTGTCTAGGACTTTTTCCATCAAGGCAGCAGTAGTGTGAGAGAGCTGATTTCAGAGTCCGGGTCATTCTGTTGGCAGTTAACGGAACTCCAGCTTCAGTCAGTTGTCATTTTGCTCTGCTTTTCTCTGTTCTGACTTTCTCCCTCACCCTCTCACGTGCTCATTTGTTGAGGGCCTTCCTGTCTTCTCTGCACCACAGCCGGATTTGGCCATTCCACAGTTGCAACCTCAGAGAGTTGGTGTAAAACGGGGGTCCCGTTTTATTTTAGGTACACAGACACAAACAGATTAACTTGACATTTCCAGTTTAGAAAAATCTAAAGTAGAGAAAATCTGGCCTTGGTTGCATCAGATACTTACTCTTGACAGTCCAGCGATGGCTAACGGGATAGGTTCAGGGGCTGTATGACTTCTGGGGCCCAAGTATAAGTTTAAAGAGAAATAGATGCCTACACTGAGACAAATGCCAGCCAAAATTAATGAAAAAAGGAAAAAAAAAAAACATAGAATATACTTCCACAATCTCTGAATTTCAAGGATAAAGAAAAAATAAGTTCCATGTAATTAAAAAAAATCAGTTTTTGTGTCAAATTTTTATAATGCTAAAAAACAAAATAGTTGAGCAATGTCTACAGACTCTCAAGCAAAAGGACTGTGATCCAAGAATTCTATATCCACCCAAGCTATTGCTCTAGTAAGAGGTCACAGACTTGCAGATATTGAAGGGCCCCATAAATATATAGGATATACTGCATAATTCTTGATGGTGATAAAAGAATATAGGCTCAAACAAGTTTTTAAATGTTGTTACAGTAGTCACTAGTAGGAAAAAGGATATGTAACCTCTTAGGATTATACTGAAATGTTAGTGGAGGTGGATAATAGGATCACAGATAATTTGTATCTTCTTTTACCACTAGTATTTAGAAATTGTCTACGATAACCATGTATTACTTATTTAATAAAAGGAAGCAATAAGAATTGTTTTTATTTTTTTTTTTAAAGTAGTAGCGTACTTATGCGACCTTCTCATATTTGGCCAGTATTCTTTACAGGGGTGTCCTGCTGGCTTTCAGAGAGGTACAGTGTGAGAAGCCAGTCACATAATGGCGAGACTGTATTGTGGGAACAACCCCTGCACAGTTTTTGAGTGTCAGTTTCTGCAAGGCACTGTGTGTGAAAGGAAAATGTGCTCTCAGTTACTAACGATGTGTAGGGATTAAAGGCATGAATCCAAATAGAATTCATGGAATGATGTGGTAAGTACCTTAGGAGGGGTTTGAAATTAGTATTATGGTGACTTAAAGAGATTATTTAAGGATTGGGATGATGAATTAGGGCAACTTGGAGAAGATATTTGAGTTGGGCCAGCTCTGTGACTAGCCATATGACCTTAGGCACATTACTTGAAAGATACACATGAAAAAAAAATCTTAGATCTGTAGGCAATCTTGAATGGGCTAGAGGTTTTAAAAAATTTTTATGACAAAAAATTATGAAATATTGCAAACATACAGAAAAACACAGAGAACATTATAGCAAACACCTCTTTACCCAATGCCCAGATCTAACATTTTTCCAAACCTTACATGTATCTAATTTTAGACACTTACACACCTAGACGTATGTAACCTCATATGGTTGTTTTTCTTTGATTTGAAACTATCTCATTTATTTATATTTTTCTTAAATAGTTGAAGGGACGACCAAAAGAGCTAAGATTGCTTGTAATACGCATGTGGCCCCTAAGATGCACCGCATGGTGGTGATGAGCCAGGTTTACAAGCAGACCTTGGCCAAGAGCTCAGATACTCTGGTGGGGGCACATGTAAAGATTCATCGGTGCAACGAATCTTTTATATATCTGCTCTCTCCCTTACGGTAAGCACAGTTCTGATATTTTGATCTTTTCTTTGGACTAGGATTGATCCTTTTTTGCCATCAGAGAATAATTTTGTAGTCAAATATTCTTTTGATCTTCCTCTCATTCAGAGGAATTTACCTCATTTTTTCATTTTTCAGATCTGTGACCATTGAGAAATGCAGGAATAGCACCTTCGTCTTGGGCCCTGTACAGACTGCTCTTCACCTCCACAGCTGTGACAACGTTAAAGTCATTGCTGTTTGCCATCGTTTGTCCATCTCTTCTACAACAGGCTGCATCTTTCACATTCTGACGCCTACACGCCCACTTATTCTCTCTGGAAACCAGGCAGTAACCTTTGCCCCTTTTCATACCCATTACCCAATGCTGGAGGATCACATGGCCAGGACCGGCCTCGCTACGGTGCCTAACTATTGGGATAATCCAATGATTGTATGCCAAGAGAACTGCAACACAAGTGTCTTCCGACTCTTACCACCTTGTGAATTCTATGTATTTATTATCCCCTTTGAAATGGAAGGGGACACAACAGAGATACCTGGGGGTCTTCCATCTGCATATCAGAAAGCACTGGGTCAAAGAGAACAGAAGATACAAATCTGGCAGAAAACTGTGAAGGAGGCTCGTTTGACAAAGTGAGTGTTTTCTAGAGAAGAATTTGTCTTATGTAAAACTCCATGGGAAAACAAATTAATCTGTACATGTTTACAGCTGTACTAAAGTAATAAAAAAGATGTAATGTGTCTTTTGTTAAGGTCAGTATTCCAGGTTGTTTGGTTGGGGGATGGGAGCAAGTAGCTGCTCAAGAATTAGACTCCCTTCTTTTTGGAAGCTTTAGTTGATAGATGAACAACTTGTATTTATGAAAGATCATATCCACTTGATCTAATACTTACATGAATTGGTTTTAGTTTTTAATTCTCTAACTATATCGGTGGTTCTCAACCTCGGTTGCACATCAGTCATCCAAGGGGCTTGTTCCAAATACAGATCTCCTGACTCCTCCATACCACAGACAGACTTACCGAGGGTGGATTCCTAATGCTGCTCCATGGACTACTGCTAGTTTTTGTCCAAGTTTTCCCTAATCCATGGTAAAATGTGAAAAATAAGCACAGTGTTTTAAAACAAAGCTAAATTTAGTCCGCTTAAAATTTTGTCTTTTATTCTGAAATTATATGCTTCCTAAACTTGGGATGCCAAAATACCTTATTTTTAAATTACATGCTTGTGATAGTAGATGATTGTGGTTTATTATGTTTACCACAATATTTTATTTCAAGGGTACTGGTCTTTGAACTCTAGAAGCCAGGGACACGGTTAACAGTTATTGTTAATAGAGATTCAGAAAACATCAGTGTGGGTAGTCAGGGAATATTTATGGAGGAAGTAGAATTTGTGTTGGACCTGGAAGAATTAGCAGTGTTTGGATAGGAGCTGAGGACTGGGCAGAATACTTTTATATTGTATCTAACCGATCTTTTTTTTTTTTTTTTTTTCCGGGGGTGGGGAGTGGTGGTGCTGCAATGTACAGAACTGAACAGAGCAGTTATTTGGAGGGAAGAAATGGATAACCAGAAATAATTTAATGTCTATCCCATTAAAGTGCTTTATAATCACTTGGAGTAAAATGAACATGAATTAGTGTTCTTACATTCTTTTTGCTCTTGATGGCACTTTTAGGGATCAAAGGAAGCAGTTCCAGGTACTTGTGGAGAATAAGTTTTATGAGTGGTTGATTAATACGGGACATCGCCAACAGCTGGACAGTCTTGTGCCCCCTGCCGCAGGCTCCAAACAAGCAGCAGGATAAGACTTCTACATGGAAACACTGGTGGGCATTTATAACGTAGACCACTTAGAACAAATTTTCTTGGGAAAATCTTACAAGCATGCAAAAAAGCTGTGCAGAATATTATGTTACTGGCCACTGCCTCTTTTTCTCCGCCAGACCCACTAGCATATACAGACTTTATATACCCATTTTTGCCGCATTTTAGAGTGAAGACCAACCAAATTATTCCATAGGTGGAGCCTATGGAATAATGGGCAAATGTAAGGGCCAAGTTTTGTCTTCTTTGCTTCTTGCCTAGTATAGGTTGTACTGTCCAAAGATACTACTTTCTCCATACATAGCTTTCAGCTGTATTTCCTCTTTCTAACACATCTCTCATCTTTCCCATCACCCACACACAAATCAACTAAGTTAACTGATCTTTGTTAATTGTACATGAGCATTAATAAATTACCAGAATTAATCCAAATGAAGATTTGAATACTGAACTCTGGAAGATCACAGATCCAATAGAAGAGAACATGGATACAGACAAATTTACTAGAAGTCATTTAATCCAAATATAAAATATTCTTTTTTCAATATAGAAATTAGTTTACTTTTCTGTTTTGAAGTCTTTTAAAAGACTAACAATAGAAAAACAGACAAAGGATATCAAATAATTCACAGAAAAATACTTACAAACACAAAGATACTTTTACTTACAATTAAAGAAATGTAAGATACTATTTTTTCTCTATCAGATTGGCAAGGATCAAAAGCTGGTAAACAACAATAAAAAAAAATAATAATAAAAAAAACTTTAAAAAAAAAAGCTGGTATACAACACTGGTAAGGTGTTTTGTTTACCACCGGTAGGTGCTGATACTGAATCTAAGCTGGGGGTTTGGAGGGGTGAAGGCAGAAGAGGAGGAGTAAAATGTTGCCTTGTGTGTTTGAAAAAAGAGAGGGGTTATCGCACATACTTATATGCTAATTATATGCCTTAAAAACTTCTGAAAGGACATAAATTATTGAAAGTGTTTGTCTTTGTGGAATGAGACTAGATGTCTAGGGTGATTAAAAACTTATTCTTAATTTTTATTGATATAGAATTTACATACCATGAAATTCACCTTTTTAAAGTGAAGGATTCAGTGGCTTTTATTAACATAGTGACAAGTTTGTACAACCTTCACCACTGACAAATCCAGAACATTTCATCACCCTAAAAACAAAGCCCGTATACATGGACAGTCAGTCCTCATTCCTCCACCCCCAGTATCTTCTCTTTTCTCTAGTCCGTGGCAACCACTAATCTACTTTTTGTCTCTTGATTTGTCAACTCTGGACATTTTCTATAAATGGAATCATTGGACATGTGGCCTTTGTGCCTGGCTTCTTTCGCTTAACATCATGGCCTTAGGGTCATCCATGTTGTAGCCTGCATCAGTACATCCTTCCTTTTTATGGCTGGAATAGTCCATTGTATGGATATACCACACTTTATCTGTTCATCAGTTGATCTGAGATTTGAGTTGTTTCTCCTTTTCAGTTGTTTTCACTTCTATTGTGAATAATGTTGTTAGGTACTTTAGTGTACAAGTTTTTGTGTAGACATATGTTTTCAATTCTCTGGGTATATACCTAGAAGTAGAATTGCAAGGTTATAGGTTTAACTTTTTGAGGAAATGCTGAACTGTTTTCCAAAACTGCAAAAACTTACTCTTTATTGTTTATAGATTGTTTGCATTTTAAATTGTGTGTTACTTTTTACAAAAAAAATTTTATAATACTTATTTAATAAATGCTGAGATTAAGAATTAGGAATCTGATGAGGATTATCCAAAGGAAATGGGAACTATAAGAAGGTGAAATTTTAGTTGAGGCTAATCCCGATAGCCTGCCACTTTTTCATGTCTTTTCTTCTATTATGAACTAAAGTGACCCTCAGAAAAAAAGGACTATAATTAATTTTAAAACCTTATGTATTTAACACTCTAAAATCTCACGTGGCCTTGATTTACATGATATTGTAAATACAAGTTTTTTCCTATTATTTGCACGAAAGCAGTAGAAAATTAAGTTACTAATATTTTTCTCTTATTATCTTAAGGGGCCTGCAAACAGGAGGATGATGAATGGAAGATGGTACACGTCTTGAAACTAAATTGGGAAGATGCTCTTGCTGCTTAAGAGACATTGGGGCTTTTTCCTTCCTATTTAACACCGTTCCTTGATTTCCATTCCATACTGATGTATTACTGTTTAGGTCGAATTTTAGATGAACTTCTGACTATTATATAAACGTATTGTTTATAGAACATCAGAAAGCTCATCTTTGTGTTGCCAAAATGAAGTTGAGGAAGGCAGTTTCATTGTATATTAATATTAAAGTGACTGAGCATAGATTTGCAATTAAATTTCACATTTTAATTTGTATGATGAAAGGGTCTCATCCTTTCTAGAGTTAAATACAAGTTTTATAGTTCTTTGAAACTATTTAAAAGGAAATTGCTACTCCTTTTAAAAAATAATTGGAATGAAAGTATAGTTTGTTGGTGTATAAATATAGCAGAAATAGTTTTATACAAAGATATATTAGTCCTTAAAAGTATGAAACAATGAAATTGTGTATTTTTCATTTTCTGCTTCAAATTTTCAATAAGCAGTTAGATGTTTGCCTTGTCATACAGATGGGTCATTCAGATTAAAAATTCCCTCTGGTGATAGCTCTCCTGGGCCAGGTTCCCTATCTGAATTATTTTAGGTAGTTAAGGGAATGTTTTTCTTGAATCTGCAGGGTCTTCATTGCCTTTAGCTCAAAATAATCCACATGTTAAAGTAGGGCATTTTGGGGTCATGTATTCTTCCTCTCAGTTACAAATGTCACTTTGTGATGTTATATCAAAATAAAGTTTACATTTGATTGGGAAAGCTGTATTCTTTAAGATAAAGGAAAAAGAATTATTAAATAATTATTAAATGATTAAATGAATCCACTGATAAACACTGTTTTGTATGCTCACTGGTCATTGATTTAGTAATTATATCAAAAAAAGGGCTTGACTTAAAGTGAAAATTAACTCTCAGAATGTGTGTTAATTCTAGTTGAGGTTTTCATAGTTTTTATTTTAAGATGAAGTTCAAGAGAGAATTCAATAAAGAAACACTGGAGTAACAAGTGTGTTTTGGAAATTGCTATTGCTTAATGAAATTAATGGTATCACTTAGATACTTTCCAGTTTACCAAATTCAGAAAGCTAAGCACATAGCTTACTAATTTGTTTCTCAATAATCTTCCTACCAAGGCACATTTACCATTTTCTGAATTGACCATAATACATCTTGGGGGCACCCTATTTGTTGGATAGTTTTATTAGTGAAAACATGAGGAAGATGGACTTTTAAGAAGAATATACTTGACCAGGAAAATGAAAATGGAGAAGGACTGATTTGTTGTTTCTTTGAATTTACATAAAATGTAATCTCATTCCAAAAGTCAGAGGTGTAATAGGTGCCGAGAACCTCTGAACAGGTTCCCATAGGCTATCATGGCAGAAAAAATGCCACCAAGCAGGCGGCAAATTGGGCTTAGCTCAACCTTGGTAGGACCGTAATTCTCACAGTAGCTTTCTGTCCCTCAGGTTACATATTGTAGAGCCCTTTCTTGTGGATTAGAACTTGTGTGTGTGTGTCCTGAAAAATTTTCAAACATAAAGAACAGTTGCGAGAATCTGAATCCCCACAAACCCCTTGTCTAGATTTACCACTTGCTAACGTGACGTCACATTCACTTTACCACTCTGCACAGTAGTAGTATTTTCACTCAACAATTTGAGAGTAGGTTGCAGACATCTTAAACCTTGACTCCTAAAGACATTAGCATGTATTTCCTAAAAATAAAGACATTCTCCTATGTAGTCATAGTACAAATTATTAAATTGATTAAATTCAGGAAATTTCACAATGGCACCGTATACAGTCTGGATTAAAATTTTTGCTAATCCTCCCAAAAATGTCCTTTGTAGTGACATTTTCCAAACATAAGATCATGCATTGTGTTTAGTAGTCACTACATTTTGTTGCTTTGGAACATGTCACTTCTGTTCAGAATTAAGAGGGTAGCCTCTCGACTTTCCCGCAAGCTCTATTGAAAAAAAAAAAAAGACACTGAGGATTTCAAGGTGGCGGCTTGCTAGAAAACCAAATTGCCCAGATAAGGGGGACTTCTTTGTTTTTAACTTGGAAAACTTTGGCTGGGTTTTGGTGCCTTGACTCAGCAAAGTCTATAATGCAGCAAGGCTTGGTAAGCATTAGAAGGGGTACTGAAGCTTTCCTTTATTTCATAATCCCAATTGTTTTTCTAGAAACCATCAATAGCCTCTAAATGACTGACTCAATTTTTGGATCCTATTCTCATGACTAAGCTTTCCCTACTAGTTTGATTTGAAACCAGCGCACTATAAATGTCTCTATGCCTCTCTCTCTAGCTATTCCGGATTCCAGCACTGGGGAAACCAATCTATGCACCAAAATGTCTAAGTCTGGAAACAAGGTAAGTTAACAGTCATACTGATTTATAGCCTACCACTTTCTTTTCCTTTGTACCTTTCTTGCCAATGTTTCCTTTCTTTTGGAATGTTTCCTATTTTCCAATGTACCTAAAGATACACTAAAAGAAAGGTGGAGAAAAGCTTTTCTTCTTTGCCTGCAGGTGAGTATGATAGTGGTTTAAAGGCTGGGATTGGGAGAGAAGATTAAAAAACGCTCATTATATTTTCTACTCGGACAGAATTCCCCAACAATTTATTAAGGGCTTGTCTTTGTGTGGGGGGCGATGTTCAGTACTGTGCAGGTATATAACAGGTAAATATCATCATGATTTCTGCCTTCCAGGAACCAATGTTCTGTGACTTTCCCCAGGAATAGGACATACTGATAAAAGGAGTATGTGGAGTAGAAAACTTCTAGTGTTTAGTTAAAAACTGCTCTGTGAGGGGCTCCTGGCTGGTTCAGTCGGTAGAGCATGCAACTCTTGATCTCAGGGTTTTAAGTTTGAGCCCCATGTTGGGTGTAGAGATTACTGAAAATTAAAATCTTTTTTTAAAAAAAAATCTGCTTTGTAAAAGTTAGCCTCCACCAGTAATGTTCTAAAAGACCATTCAAGTGAATTAAATCCTACATATCCATTTCATTCAAGCAGTTACTCTTACCCATCTGCTGAAATAAAGTGCTTACTTACATTAGGAAAATTGCCTCTCAAATATTTGATTCACAGTTGTTAGACTGGAAATTGATCTCTTAAGCAGAGCTTTAGGAATGAGGGATTCTACTTTCATTTCTCTATTTTAGCTCTTCCACTGATAAGTGAGTGTAAGGCAAAGCCATTGGTGCCTGATTTCCACATCCCCCCCAGCTCTTTACTTTGAAAAGTTTCAAACCCATTGAATCTTAGAAGAATAAGAAAGAAGTGTTAAATACTTGCATATCACTCACTTATATTCTCCAATTGTTAGCCTTTTGCTATATTGAGTGTCTGTCTCTCTCTTTGTACTAAACCATTTGACAGTAAATAGACTTAATTCCTTGGCCATATTTAGGCATGTATCTCTAAAAATAAACATACTATCATTATGTTGTCCCCCAAATTTGTAATAAATATAATACCTAATATTCAAACTATATTCAAATTTCCCCCGGTTGCTTCCCCAAATGTGCTTCATGGCTGGCTTTTCCCCTGATACAGGATCCAGTCAGGGATCATGCATTACCTTTGGTTGCCATGTTTCTTTAACCATTTTTTCCTTTAGCCTCTTGTATGGAACAGTCGCCCTACCTTTCTGTTGTTGTAGTTTGAGACATTAACATTTTTCAAAGTCCAGACCAGGTGTCTTGTAGGAAGTCCTGAAATCTGCATTTGTCTGATTGTTTCCTAATGTTTAGATTCAGACTAACCATCTTTGGCCAGAAAGTTACATAGGCAACCTCAAATATTTCCCATCACATCATGTCAGGAGGCACCTGTTAATTTATTCCAGAATTGGTTAGTGCCTGATTTTTTTTCCACTTGGAAAATAAAACTAATAATCATACTCGTCATCTAAAAGATTTTGGGAGAAAAATGAGACAGTGTCTTTAGTGCTCTGAGGTTCTTGAAAGCATGCCATGCAAATCCCACTGAAAAGAATTGTAAGTCCTTAGAGGAATATCCATGTGCCTTGAGGGGAAGACTGTTACAGAACCCTCTTTGGGGCGGCTGGGTGACTCAGTCAGTTAAACGTCTGCCTTCGACTCCAGTCATGATTCTGGGGTCCTGGAATTGAGCCCCGTGTCGGGCTCCCTGCCTGGCGGGGAGTCTCCTTGTTCCTCTCCCTCTGCCCCCACTCCTGTTTGTGTGCTCTCTCTTTCTCTTTTTCTTTCTCTCAAATAAATAATAAAATCTTTAAAAAGAAAAAGAACTCTCTTAGATGAAAATGCCCCCACTTTCAAAGATTTCCAGAGTAGTAATAGTGTGCTCTCTTATTTCTTGTAGCTGCCCTGTTCATGGTGGTTAGCTAACTTGCTTACTAGGTCAAAAGAGCAAGTTAATCTCTTTCTCTATTGCTTCTCCCTTTCCCGCCATCTTACTAGCAATTTAATCAGAGTTATAGGCTTGGCAAAAACGATGCATTTTATGAAATTTGGTTTTGTTACCTCTGGAATACTCAACATTTTTCTTTGTGCTATGTTGGATTAATAGGCTATTTTTCAAAAACTAAACGAAAATGAGAGGAATTTTGTAGTAATTTCTAGGGAAATCTCCAGCACTATTTCTGAGCTTTCTCTACAAATTTTTTTTGCCCAAGAGTCTCAGCTCACCATAGAATAGATTTCATGGTCCTTCTGCAAATGGAAATTGAGTAGAAGTTCAACATTCTCTGGGCTCTGAGATTTGGAAGGTGTCCCACTGAAAGGAGAGCTTGGTTCTGGAGCTCAGTAATGGCTCCATGGCAACACAGTACTTTGTTTCAGCTTTGGAATGGCTGGCTAGTCTGCTGGAAGGGTGGCCAGCAAGATGACCTTATAGAACATCCTGTATATAGATGTTAGCCAGGCAAATGAGCAGGGGGCACTAAGTGTGAGAAACATTCAAGTAAAAAAGATACTAACTTTATTTCCTATAGCATATCCCTTGCAAAGCCTCCTTTTTGGGTGACAAATTGACCAAAAACCAAAGGTAATTTGAATTAAAGTTAAATTAAGGAGTTTAGAATCTATTAATTCTTAGTGAAGTTACCTTAGTTTTCCTAAAGATCTTTCCACAGGGCTTTGGGGAAAGCTTCTCAGACTCAGAATCAGTGTTGTTCCATTACTAAGAGAGTAAATGGTGTTTGTGGAACAGAGTTAGATGTGCAGGCGGGAAGACAGCAAAGGGAGAGAAGATAAAATGAATCACAGGTCACTAACCAGGAGTTTTGCACAGCAGTCCACTCACTTGCCTGCAACGAACTTGTAACTAGCTATTGACCTTAGGCAAGTCACTTAACTTCTTTATCTGTAACAACAGTAGCAAAAGTTTATTGGCAATTATGAACCAGATTAAACTAAGTGCTTTATTGGATTATCCCTCCTCAGAACAGTCCTCTGCAGTGGATATTGTTATCCAGTTTTACTAATGAAGAGCCAGAGCTTTAGAGAGAGGTTCAGTGGCCTATCCAAGGTCCCAGAGCCAGTAACTGGTAGTCCTGCAATTTTGTTTTCATCTGTAGACTGGGATGCCATGTAGCTCTCAATCTGCTATGCTGAAGTGGGAAATGGAGCTGGAAGAGAAATTTGGGAGGGGAAGAAAGGAAATGAAGTAGATGATTTAGTGCTGAGCAGGGGTAAGGAAGCTTGTAGGGAACAGGAAACAGAAGGAGAGAGACAAGCAGGGTAGATTAAGGTGGAAGGAAATAACCATCAGTAGGCTATGATCTAGAAAGTCTCCCCTGGGGTAGAAAACACTGAGGTTTTATGGCCTTTTGCAAGTCATTCTTGGTTTCTACCTCTCCATCATTACTTACATCTGATCAGCCACCAAATCCTCCATTCCTTTTGACCGTTTGTTCCCTCCATGTCCTCAGCTAGCAGTTGGCATTTGGTTGGCCCACACCATCTCTCACCACACCCATAGCAACCACCTGCTTCCACGCGCATCATCACCAGAGGGATTCTAGCATGGCATCCGCAGCAGGCTGCTGGCTTTATTTCCGAATACTTCTTATATGCGCAGACTCTATATGCGCCAAGCTTGCGGAACTACTTGTCCCTATAGTGGGCCATGTTCTTTTATTCCTTTGAACAGGTAATCCTTTTTCCTTTGCCCCTGGACAGAGATCCTCTCAGGGCCACCTGGCTCTACTTTCCTGTGAAATGCTTGACCTGGTTTTCTTCTAAACCGATAACGCAAGTTAGCCACAAGGTGGCAGCATAACGCTAGGGAATTAACTGCTTGACTCCATGACACCTTGCTTTCCGTTTCAATGATAAACTAGCATTTATCTTGGAGTGTGGAATTATAGAACAAGGGGCAAACTCTACAGTCTATTTGGTCTGGTGGTTTTCAGAAACTGCGTCACGAAGCCCCAGGAGTGCCTGAGAACTCTATTTCCTGTTGCAAATAGGAACGTTTTATTTTTACAGCCAGGGCTTCAATCTAGTCTAGTCCTTCCTCTGACAAGCGGGAAGCAGGAGCCCAGAGAGGCGGCTTGCCTAAAGTAGTGAGCCTGACGGTAGAGATGCAGCTCAAGAGCCCAGGTTTATTATTTCCCGGTTCTCAGAGCTGCGCACCGCCATGCCATTAGAGGTCTCAGGTTTACCCCAGAAATTGTGGGAGAAAACTTGGTAAAGGGTTTGAGGCAAAGAACATTCTTGACTTGTCATTTTGTTGCTTTGTAACTACTCTGTTGGCAATAAAATAATAATACAGAACATAAAATATTGTCATGTGTATGCTCCACATCCATCTAAAACAAGCTCTCTAAAGCTAAGGTACGTTTTATTTTTCTCTATATTAATCTTCCATTATCACCTACAGTGAATGCCTGCATTTGGAACTCACTCATCATCATCCAACATTTATTGTGGGTTTGTCCAGTGTAGGATACAGGGGTCCATAGCTTAAATAAGGCTTGGTCTTTGCCCCAGGAAGAAGTCTAGGAGTCTGATGGGAGAGAGATATATAAGTGAATAACTTATTTTCTTATGTGATGAGTACCGTGAGTTATGGGAACAAAAAGGAGGAAGCCATGAACTTGGGTCTGGCTTATCTTAGGGCACTCTTTTGTTTTGCTTCATTTTAAGCCTTCAGAAAGTTCTCATTCCTGTTGTTGACAACTAAAGTTGTCTGCCAGAAGGTAGGTGTTGTGAGGTGAGGTAGAGCTCTGTATTTCCTCCTCAAAATCGAAGAGAAAGGAATTTTCAAAGTGGGGATTATGTTCTTGGTCTTTATTTTTTTTATGAATAAAGCCTCCTGACTCCCAGTTCTTCTCTTGGTCCACCCCGCCCTTCAGATTACTTTCTATGAGGACAAGCACTTTCAAGGCCGCCACTATGACTGTGACTGCGACTGTGCAGATTTCCACATGTACCTGAGTCGCTGCAACTCCATTCGAGTGGAGGGAGGCACCTGGGCTGTGTATGAAAGGCCCAACTTCGCGGGCTACATGTACATCCTACCTCGGGGCGAGTACCCTGAGTACCAGCACTGGATGGGCCTCAATGATCGCCTCAGCTCTTGCCGAGCTGTTCACCTGGTGAGTCTGGGGCCCGCTGGATTCCGCTTGCTTGCTCGCTCGCTCACCTGCTCCGGCTCTTCTCTGTCTCTCTTGCTCCTACTCCCCCCCCCGCCTTTTTGTTTTTTTACTTTTATGTGGAAGCATCTTCTTAACATTTTCCTACCCTTTAATGCAGTGTTTTCTTCTGTTGGCTGCTGAGGCTTACATAAAACCTAAAGTCAGTTCATCACAAGACTGAATACATGAATTATTTCCAGAGCGCACTCTCTACCTCCTGAGTACTTTAAGGCATTAAGTTTTTCCTACCGAAGGTCAGCTGTTTTGGTCAGTGCACAGCGGGGATGGGAGATCAGATCATCTGGCTTTCAAGATGGTGGGTTCTGAACCACAGCGTTCTGGGAGTTCTTGACGTGTCGGTGATTTTCATAATCATCATTGTTTATTTCCTCCCTTGTTTTTCCAGTCTAGTGGAGGCCAGTATAAGATTCAGATCTTTGAGAAAGGAGATTTTAATGGTCAGATGTACGAAACCACTGAAGATTGCCCTTCTATCATGGAGCAATTTCACATGAGAGAGGTCCACTCCAGTAAGGTGCTGGACGGCGTCTGGATTTTCTACGAGCTACCCAACTACCGTGGCAGGCAGTACCTTCTGGACAAGAAGGAGTACCGGAAGCCCATCGATTGGGGTGCAGCTTCCCCAGCCGTGCAGTCTTTCCGCCGCATTGTGGAGTAATGACGTGGATGGGGCCACAGGCTTCTCCCTCGGGGCCACATGCTGGCTAGCCTTGTCATCCAAGTAGGCATCATAAATAAAACAATTGGCATGCATTCCACTGTTGACTGTAATGCTTCTCCTTAAACACTCTTAGGGACCAGTAAAATAGTGCCCACCACAGTGGGCAGTTACACAAAGCAACTCATCCTTCAGATGGCCAATCTGTAACTTTGTGCCAAGCAGGATGGGGCTGCACTGAAAGGTTAGAAAATCATACTGCCAAGTGGTGGTTCTCATTGCGTAAGTTTGGTATAGATTCAACAGGTACAATAAGAGCTACTGCTTATTGAGTGCCTTCATTATTCCATTTTCTCCTTACAACAACCCTGCAGATGAGGTGGTTTCTTTGCATTTTACAAATAAGAAAACAGAGGCTTAGAGAAACTAAAAAACTTGCCCAAGTTCACTAGCTGGTGATTGGAGGAACCGGGGTTTGGTCCAGGATATTTGTTTCCAGAGCCTCTGTTCTTTTCCTTTCATTTCTAACTCATTCATTCAACACCTGCCGGCTGGGGGTCCATGTGCATAATAGAAATACAAGACCCTGAGGAATTTAAGAGGTGGAAAGGGCAGGGTCCCCTGAAGGTCTCATGGAGGAGACAGAATACCTCTCAAGAATGGACAGTGAAAATAGAGCCATCACTTGAAAATGGTGGAGCCATTAAGTCACCTGAAGGCCTTTGTTTAAGATTCAGAGGTTGCTGGGTCAGTTACTTCTCAACTTTAAGCTCAATCTTTCCGTAAAAAGCACATATCAAATAATTTGTCCCAACTTTACAATAGTTGAAATGGAGTTTGAGTTTTACTCACTTTGAGTAACCCCTGAGATTTCCTCTGTTTAATCTTGATGAAGAGGAGAATGGTGAAGGAAACCCAGCGTCATTAGGAATACTTAATGAGCATCTGAGTCAACCTGGGGATGTTCTGGACGTGCCTGTCTTTAAAAGAGAGGGCAGAGCCCAGGTCTCCTAGGAGCTTTTCCAGAAAAGGACAAATTAGAACTGCTAAGGATATTCCCCTTGTGTACATTTCAGTCCATACACTAGTGTGTAGTGCGTTCTCTCCCCCAAATATTTTTCTTCATTTTGTTAACTTCCCCTGCCTTTTGTCATGTACTCTGTTTTGAGTGAGGGACCTTGAAGGATTTGAGTAAAAGTAAGGGAGGGAGACAAGAGGAACCATAGACGAAGAATGGGAGGCCACCCACTGAGCCACAAAGAGCTCTGGCCCTCGTCACCCTCCCATGAAGGGAATTTGCTCTATCTTCAAAATGAGGGCATCCAACCAAATGCTCACTCAAGTCACACTGAACATAAACATCCTAATTCCTTGGAGGTCAGGAGGAGGGTACAGAAAGGCTAGCTGATGACCAAAGACTACTGACACTTTCAGCGGCACAATTGCTGGAAATGACCTCAGAGATCTTGCCCCTCCTCTTCTGCAGAAGAAACGGAGGCTCTGGTAACCGTGCGTGAGGGCCAGCTTCTGCTCGCGTATCAACTGCCACCATGTTCCAGGCCCGGGGGAGTCAGCCACGGTCTGTTCAAAACAACCAGAAACGCACTTCTGGCAGCAGGGTATGGAAAAATTGTCAGGATTGCTTACCCCAGTCTCGGAGAAGTAGAAGATGGCTTTTGACAGATAAAGCAGAATCACCTTTTGGGGATGTTATATGCCTCTTGGTTCATGTCCTGATCCAGAAAGGGATTGCCACCATTGTCCCCGGCTATAGACATGTCTGTCAGCTTGCACTTAACAAGCATTTTACTAGCAATTGACATTTGAGGTCAAAAACACTTTATGTTTTTGTATCTATCCGTCAATCCAGTTCTGGTAGAACATTCTGCTGTTCCAGCAAAAGCCAGCATCCCACCTGTCACGCAAACCAGAATAGCACCCGGGGTTGTTATTTAGAATTATTATCTCCCTCTAGCTTTTATTGTTTTGTCTCTCTGAAATGGGGGATCTCAAGAAAATAAGACCATTTAGATCATTTTAGCCCTGTTTCCATCTCTAGCATTCCTCTGAGACAAGTCTTTGAATATTTCCCAAATACAGAACACGCTTCCTCAAAATGCAGCCTCCAGGGCTCCTAGTTCAGGCCTCCAGGGTAGGGCTGCCAGATTGAATGTGGGACACTTATGTGCTCGCTTCGGCAGCACATATACTAAAATTGAATGTGGGACACTTATTAGTAAATCACAAGTACTGGGACATAACTAACTATAGACACAGTATAAGTATATCCCAAGTATTGCATGGGACATAGTTACAGGAAAAAGGATTTGTCATTTGTCTGAAATTCAAATTTAACTCTGCATCCTGTATTTTTATTTGCTAAATCAGTCAACCTGATACTTGAAGGGCAAGTCAAGTTACACATGAGTGACGGGGGACTCAAAGAACAGGGAGTGGCACAGGCTCTGGAAACTGGAGACACACGTCCCACAGCAGGGCACTGAAATAACAATTTTTCAGAAACGCTGTGAATCAACACAACGTGTCTGCAGCCGGATTTAGCCTATGGACCACCAGTCCCCAATCTTGGCCTGTTGGAGAGCTCTGAGTATTAGAAAATGGTGCTTACACTGAGTCATAACCTGCTCCCTGTAACTCTGAACCTGCTTTCCTTCCAGTTCTCATTCCCAAGATAGCCCTCTAGGTATTTAAGGATCCCTCCTGTAAGTCCCCACACTCTCATTTCTAGGCTGAACCATTCCTGTTCCCGCCATTGCTTCTCTCTTGGTGTGGTTGGCACCCACTCTTCATTCTGGTGCCTCTCTTCTGTGTTGGTTGCAGATGATCTTTTCCCCCCTGCTCAGCCAGAGCCTGACCAGACTACATCTGGATGATCGTGTCCAGTTCTTTCCCCTTCCTTTCTCAGATAAGCCATGTTCTTGACTAGGCTCAGCTCTCCTGGTGCCCTCCCAACAGCCCTGATACACGGGCCTGATCAGCCTTTTCTAAGAACTGGCATTCAGGCTCCCAGGCTAGAGAGTTCGCTTCCTCTCTGGAGAGTGGGAGAGGAATGGATTCAAATCCTCCCACTTCCACATGGGAGCTCTAAGTCAGGTTAATACAGATAACCTCAACTTCCTTACCTGTAGCACAAAAAGAACACCTACTTTGTGGGTGTTCAAATGAGAACATGCATTAAAAACACATAGCGTGGATGGCCAATGCTCATGTTTGCAGTTATGGTGGTCTATAAAGACTTGAGCACTGGAGAGCAGATAGTGGTTCCTGGAGAAAATATAGGGTTAGGTGCCCGTGAACTTCTGGTCACAGCATTTTTGTCAGCTGATCAATACTTAACCTTTTTTTTATGTGTGTTTCAGTTTAAAGAAACTTTATTTGATGTGGATTGTTGATGCATTAACATTGCAGGCCTGAATGAAGGTTGACAAGCAGATTCTCTCCGTAGGGCACATGGCAGCTTTCTAAGGAAAGCTTGCTCAGAACTCCAGACAGCACTTCAATGCTACATCTGGGGGTTGATTTATATAGTGAAATCACCAACCAAGAGGGAAACAAGGCAGAAAACACAGCACTACATAGACGGCAACAAAACAAAACAAAACAAAATACTTGTTTACAGTAGGAGAGCTAAAACCAGAAGGCAGAGCCTTCGTTTGACCTCAGCAGGGAACACAAACACGGGGTGACTCAAATTTTTTACTGCTCTGCTCATGTCCTTGAATGCCCTCAAAAGTACCATGAGGAGTGATTTTGGAATTAACAGTAAATTTTAGTGAGTGGGCGAATTCATAAATCCAGAACTTGTACTTTACCACTATGTTTAGCCTGTTAGTACCATTTTCCTAGTATTTAAGTACCTCTGTTACCAAACTGTTGGGTTTTTTTGCTTTATTTTTTACTCGTCTAGCTCTTTTTTATACCTCTTTCTATCCTCCAGTTGTTTTCAGAAAAGCATCTCTGCATTTTTGGCAGATGTTTCAGAGTTGGGAAGGCATACATCAGAACCATCCAACCCATCCCACTGCCTTGCAAAAGAACTACATTTCTATGGGAGTCTGGCCTCCTCTTCACTCTCTCATTTGCCTCACTTGCACCAGTTTCCAAGGGCCGCAGGGCTGTCCTTAGAGCTCACATAAATCCCTCTGCTTTCTAACTTCTACCTCATCTCTCTTATTTGGGGACATGACAGGGGGCAATGAATCCCCAAACCGCCCTTCTAGCCCTCTGGCTGATCGGCCTGTGGTCCGCACAGGAGAGAAGGCTCCCTCATGGCTGTGTGTGACTTCAACGCAAGGCAAACCTCTCTGTCCGCAGACAGACACCACCCACCTCTCCCTCTTCACTCAAGCATCACACTTCAAAATCAGGGAATGTTAGAACTGCAGGGGCTGGGGGCTTTCCTCTATACCGCAACAACTTGGTAAGGTGGGGCTTACTAACCCCAGTTTACAGACAGGAAACCAGAGCCGAGACAGGCTAAACACGTTGTCCAAGGTCACTGGTTCCAAAGCTCTGGCTCTTTCCACAGCACCACACGGCTTCTGCTTCTCAGTCTTCATGAGACAGAACCAGCATAGGACATATGAGAGCCTAAGAGTCAAGCTAGGCCAGTCATAGCATGGGCGATTTTCTCTTTAATTGCTCTATTGAGATATAATCCACGTGCTGTACAAGGCACTGTTAAGTGTAGGACTCACCAGATTTTAGTATATTCACAGATTGTTCAACGGTCACCACAGCCAATTGGAGAACATTTCCATCACCTCCGAAAGAAACCCTATACCCTTTAGGGATTACTACCTTATCTCCCCATTTCCCCCCGGTCCTGAGCAATCACGAATCTACTTTCTGTATCTGTGTATTTACTTATTATATAATAATTCACTTATTGTATATATTCACATATAATTACTTCTATATCAGTATTTACATATATATACTTATTCTAGACATTTCATGTAAACGAAATCATACATTACATGGTCTTTTGTGGCTGGCTTTTATTTTTTTTAAGATTTTATTTATTTATTTATTTATTTATTTATTTATTTATTTATTTATTTATTTATTTATT